TAGCGAGAATCAGATGATTCCCAAACTAGGATGAAACAGCTGTCCAGTAGTCCCTGGTTTTCAATGGTTCTCTAATTGATATCAATAAGTGGTCTGACTTGAAAAACAAATCTAATCCTTGCGAATCAGCTCTTTAAAATGTTAAGTTTGTCTGCAACATTCTGTGATAGCAATTTAACAGAATTTGAAAGTTTAAAGTCGTTTTTATATTTTCTACATTATTTTATTTGTATTATTAACTTTCTGTTTTAATAAATATGTATATGAATAATAACATGACTATTAATGAATTATGTCATTTAATTTTGGATCAAATTTTATTGTTTGTTTTAAAAAAATTTTATTATGTAGTACATAATAAATAAGTATTACTTCCAGGAAGAGTTCTTTGTTTTCGGTTTTAGTGATAGGGCTTATTTTTTTGAAAATATGAAATGTGAACAAAACGTGGAGTGAAGTTATCAAAAACAAAATCCCACAGGAGAAGTAAATAGGTCTTTTATTTCTCCTTATTATTCTTCCTTCCTATAGAACAGTGACAGTTTAACAGTCAACGAGATGAATAGGCAAAACGGAAACACAAAATAAAGACACCAGAATAAAAGGGATAAAGAAAGAGATACTCATGTACATATATATATGTATTGTTCATTATAATTATAATTATTTTGTTTTTACACAAAGTATAACTGAGACGACAGACTAGAGTAGGACTGTGGGAAACACTGTTCTAATGTAGTCATTTGTGTAAATGCAGTAAAACAGCATGCTTCGATATGAAGTGTTCTATTTTTAACAAATGAAGTTTACACGAATTCGAAGCGGGAGAAAAGAAAAGAAAATGGGTGAGACAGTAGTGGTCAGCTGTTTTACAGTGTGCGTGTGTCTTGTGTATCAGTTTATGCAGGATGGATAGATGCTGTGTGTGCCTCTGACTTAACAAAACCTTACTGACAAAGACGAAGCATAAATGTTATGCAACCCATTGTAATAGACAGGCTATAGGATATTTCTTCACTTCTGGCTAAAAATATGCATTCAGTTATTGACGTGTGATTTAAGTAGGCACTGAAAGCTTTTTCACTGGACAACGTAAATTTGATGGAAGAAAGTGAGTTTATTTCATGTACATATATATATATTTCGTTAGAAAACAAGATAATTACCCTACGTCACCTGTCTATAATACTGTGGTATGAAACATATCATTAGCAAGCTGCTTTTTTTTCTTGAATGCATTTTTTGGAGTTTTTCATTTGTTCCATCTTCTATTTTATTCTTTAGCTTACGTAAATTCGAAAAGCATCTCATGTGATTTCTAATCATTTCAGTGTACGTGAATATCATCAGTAAACAGTCCATACAACACACCCAGTGTCTGTATAAGCCATTCCATGAACTGAAGCAATTTAAGAAGAAAGAAAATGAGGAGAAATCAGAATGTATATTTGTAAGTAGATGGATCATTTGTTTCAAAGATTCCATATCTAACCAGTATTGAGCTTCATTATGAATAAGTGCTTAGAATGATGCAGAAGATACAAATGTCTCAACACATACTACTACTACTCATCACTACAACAGTAGTATCAGTGATAATATGAATATTTAATTATACTTCTCAGTTATTTCATTAGGTTAAAGATTAGTGAAAGGAACTTGCATAATGTACAGTCCAGTATTATTTTTGTCCTATGCTATCGTTTATTTTAATCCAAAATTGTAATTAGATCGGTCATACTTTATTTTATAGATGCAAAACAAAATCATAATAATTGAAAAGTTCGGACATGGACATTATACAAAACGAATACATGTTAATTTGAACGCTTTGTACAAGTGAAACATATGTGTGTGCATATATATGTATAGATGTTCAGTTGATCAATGCTCAATGATGATTGCTGAATGACTGAATGACTGAATAAATGAGAATAAAATTGTCGGAACAGTGTTTACCTATAAAAGAAAAGGAAATAGAGCTATGTATGAATACATCACTGAATGAAAAATAAGATTTCAGAAATGATAACTTTTCGAGGTCACATGGTATGTTGTATCAGGTATTAGAGGTCGATTAAAGCGAAATTTAGTTTGACATCAGTTATGTGTTTTTTGATGCTAGTCAGCATGACTTATCATGAACACTGAGGGAAGCAGTATTAGCTAACCTCTCTTGCCTGAGGGACTTGTATGTGCAAATTTATCAGGACATAACAGACATAGAAAATAGCGAAACTGACTGCAACAACCAGTCACTTTTCATTCTCCTGAGTTCCGAGTGGAATACAGGGCTTCAGGCTTTTGAATTTTCAGTAACGGGTTGGCATCACCAGCCTCACACCCAACTTTCCTTCTTTTTCCAGTCTACTATCGACTGTCTGAGATTCTCAGCAGTTCATCGGCTGAGGGTCGAACTAGGACCACGTGCGCACTTGCTGCGACTTATTCTGATGAATCACCGCTAGCTGCTAAGTAATTTCTTCGAGGTATTTTGGCACTTTTGTAATTCCAGAGATATTTCACTATAATTACTCACTTAAAATGTAATAAAAATAAATGTATTATGGATTGAGCAGACAGATATGTAATTGCAAATATTACAAAGGTGTATTTACAGTAACTTACGTATGTTGAATTGGTTCAGTATGGACTATCAAGAGACACAGAGAATGCCTTACACCAACTTTCGAATTCTTGGCTGAAAATGATAAAAGTACAAGCAAAACAATCATTATTATATTTTAGTGTTGGTTTGTAGGGATTTGATTGGTTATAGGATTTTCATCATGAGCTGACATTAGTTAGAGAACTATTGGAAAACCTGGGAGTAGTGGACAACTGTTTCGTCCTAGTTTGGGGCTCCTCAGCAGTAGGCAACCACCGGGATTTGAACCCAGGACCTGCTGGTTACAAGGCGAGCTCGTATACTTGACTGAGGAGTCCCAAATTAGGGCGAAACAGCTGTCCAGTAATCCCAGGTTTTCCAATGGTTCTCTAACTAATGTCAGCTCATGACGAAAATCCATTATTATATTTGTTAAGTGATGGCTGTCAGTGGAGTCTACGACCCATGTTTTGTCCTGCCTGGGACTAGTCAACTTGGTGTACTTGTTTTGTGGTGACTGATGGTGTTCCTGCTGGAACAACACTCCAGAAGTGATCGCTTCAAACGCTAGGGCATTATCCACTAGGCTCCTAAGCCACAAGAATCACCTTTTGTGTAACAAGTGCCATTTAAAATCACTTACTCAAACCTGTTATTTCTCACTGATATATCAAAACATGGCTGATCAATTCTGTCCAGTAATATCAACAGAGAATCACAAGGATGAATAAGTAATTACAGTTCACAACTATAGATGACTATTAACAGTGCTGATGGAAACTAATTAGTCGGAGTTATATCACTTCACTGCCCATGGTAACTGGTTTCAGAATGAATTCCTATCTTTAAATCATTTCAATCTCTGTAACATGCGCTACTCGTTGATGTTAACAGCATCCGTAAATTCAAATCAATCAGTCAGTAGCATGTGCCCGCTGATGAGTTTATGCCTGCCTTCTTGACTGTCATTTTGTAGCATCAAACAGATCACACACTGTAACCTGAATAATTTCAGTTTCCAAGGAAAACTGTGTGAATTGCAAACCGTGAATTTGAATTTCTGTTCTTGGTAAAGAATGGAACCTTCTGTAAGGAGTCTGTAGCGAAATAATTGTTTGGAAAATCCTTCCCGAACGATCTAATCGTAATACTAATATTTATTTGGATGTTTCAACTAATTTTGTAATCACTTTCCTCTTTTCTCATAGGTTTTATATATCATTTTTATGACATTGCATATTATGCACTGACTTAGGCCTTGTTATTTGTCTTTGTTCTTGTGTAATCCATTAATCAAATAACTCTCTTTGTGGTTATATGATGATATCGATAGTGTATTGTTTTACGACTTCCATTTTGTTTGAGAGAATGTAGGTCTTTCTGACTATACATTATCTGTGGGAAGTGTGATTCTTTTTGAGTGATTCTTCCTGACAGAGTTTCCACATCACCTGGTTAGGAATAGTCTACCTGGTTCTCAGATACTCATAACGGTTGATTTTCGGTTAGGTTATTTTGTCCCACAGTACTTGTTTTGTACTGGCGAATTCTGTGATCTGTGTAGCTGCCTAACGGCATCGTTGAGAAGATTTTGAGTTTTCGTCATGTTATTACTGTTCAATGGTACCAGTGATTTTACCACAAATGACTGTCTTCTTTTTATCGTCAGGACTTCATTGTACTAGGCGTAAGTCGAGGAAGTTTTGGTTAGCTATACAGTAGAATGCGAAGATTGGTTTCCGGCGTTCAGAATACAACACGTCAGTGTGGGTAGCTACAAGGTCAGTCGACTTATCTTAATTCTACTTGACTGAAATGTGGTTTTTTTTATAATTAGACAACGAATAAACTGAGTGTGCATAAATCTTCCCTATAGTAGCTGAATGAAGCTTACTATGGCCAACGCAACAGTTACATTTCATAGCTTAGGTTGATAAATTAAAGAGTGACATTGTGAATTACACCACCAGATATCTAGTGTTTACTTTATCTATGAATAGACTTACTTGTCTTTAGGTAGGAGTATCAGCTCCATACAAGTTCCATTATGACTGCCAAGTAGCTTTAAATGTATTGTTCCAGTTTTGCAAGTGACTAAGGCGTTTGCACTTGACTGCGATGTACTGAATATAGTCGATTTGATATTTCTGATTCGTTCATGATTAAAGCGTAAATGATAACCACTTAAACTGCTTCCAGATCGAGAGAGATTGATTTTTTTCGTTGTAGTAACCGCATTAGTACTTACTGCAGGTGAAACTGGTGTAATTGCAGTAATTGCAGTGGTAGTAGCAGTAGTTGTAACCACATTGATAGTATTGTCAGCGTCGGTGACGGTAGTGGCAGCTGCGGGAGAAGCAGGCAGAGACGTAGTGTCCTCTTCATTGTTTTCCACATTAATTTCCCTTGTAATAATGTCACTTTGCACTCTACTAGAATCTCTTTGATAATTATCAGTGCCGATAGCAGAATCATTGTTTGAAGCCGTCAAATTTTCAAATTCAGTTGTTGTTTTATAACGTCTGTGACGCTTATCCTTAGATGAATGCTTCACATTACTGCCAGTATCATCTGTGTCTGGAGAAAGATGATGCTTTGTTTTGCGTGTAGTGACGCGTAGATCATCTAAACACGGTTCTATAATGCACAATGGTTCAGCAGATATTGAATTTTTGGGGTTTTTCAAGAGATTTGTACTAGTACCAATCAAATCACCATTACGCTGGACAAATGCTTGCACTGACGCCCGGTCACAGTAATCCAGGACTTGAAAACGTTCATTTCTGTGTGTGAAGAGAAAACAAGACAGAGTAACTGAGAGTTATGGTTAAAATAAATAATAGATGAATGAAGCTACTCTGCTTATTCACCTTTCATTTTCATAATTTTTTAAAACAGCTGGATAGTTAATTTGCGAAGCTTTCATCTCCCTACTAGGCGAAATCTTCAGCGCACACTTCAATTTGAAGTGAGCTTTCAGATTTCTCCACGAGTTTATTAGTCATCTCTCCTGGACTTGATTGGTTGTTTTTGCGTGTTTTCACATCTTCTAGGTTATTTGTATTGTAATTCATTGTTTCTTTGACTTGAAGTTTGACCTTTTGTGTGTGAGGAAAATTGAAGAAAAATATCTCATGGACGTCTTCCAGAAGAATGGATATCCACGGAATTTCATCAAAAGACATATACCCCCAAGCCAACCTGTCAAACCAAAAGCCCCTAAGGAAAGCACAAAGAAAATCGCCTTACCATATATAAAGAACATCTCAGAAATCACTACAAGACTCTTCAAACCTTTACGAATTGATGTCGTACACAAACCAACAAAGTCACTTCACTCAATTCTATGTCAACCAAAAGACTCAACAGCGAAGGAAGACAAAACCAACATCATCTACAAAGTAGATTGTATCAACTGCGAAAAACACTACATCGACCAAAGTGGACGTCCCCTTCGTCTTCGTATCCACGAACATAAGCTAGCCGTCAAAAGACATGATATCCACTCCCTCATATCACTACATACAGACAACCACGGACATCAATTCGACTGGGAAAACGTTCAAATATTAGACAGAGGAAACAACAAGAATGCTGGAGAATTTTTAGAAGCTTGGCATTCCAGTGAATCATCAATCAATAGACACATCGAGATAGACAAAATTTATCAACCGATAAGAAAGAAACCTCACACACACACAAAGGGTCAAAGTTAAAGTCAAAGAAACAATGAATTACAATACAAATAACCTAGAAGGTGTAAAAACATACAAAAGCAACCAATCAAGTCCAAGGTCACCAGAAGAGATGATTAATAAACTCGTGGAGAAATCTGAAAGCTCACTTCAAATTGAAGTATGCGCTGAAGATGTCGCCTAGTAGGGAGATGAAAGCTTCGCAAATTATCTATCCAGCTCAAAGAACACAACCATATCAAACTCATCCACCTGAGCTACAAATCTTCTTTATCATATCTATCTATCTATCTATCATATCATAAAACAGAAATGACATACTGTATATCGGAATTCTATCAGGATAGGACATCGTTTATCCTTGGTTTCTCATTTATCATCTTTCGTCAGTGCAGCGAATCTACAGTCCTGAGAGAAATTACATTGTCTTCAAAAAGGAAATTTTCGTTACCAAACGCTTTGAGGGAATTACTGTTTTTAGTTTTTCGGGAAAAAGTAATCAACATAATATTATCAATAATTGCTGAAAACGTCATTTCAGTAGTCTAATCCAAATATGTAGGTATCCAATTTCTGGGCTGTGTTATAATCTGATTCTTTAAGTAGCCTGACAATTTTCAATAGGTAATCTGAAAGATTTCTAGATCAGTGCTCAAGGTTTACATTCAGTCACACTAAATTCTGATAAATTTCAGTGAAATCCGAATTGGTTAAGAATGTTAATAATTCAAGCTATGATATTCAGGGTAGGAATAATTCTAAACTGCATTTACATTGCAGACTTCTTGATATCAGACCTACCCTTCTGCATAGGACTTTAGAACTTACAAATATATTTTACTGCATGCTATGTGCTAATTATATAGGTGATATATACATACATAACAACAGGTACTTTGAAGAACAAAATATGAGTCACATCGACGCATTATGCATTGATATATTAACAGCTCAATATCTTCAACATAACTCTATATCCAAAACCGTAACTACTTACCTCCGTTATTCCACTCTACACTGGGATGTTTGATTGTCTAGTTATTATTATTGTAACATTTATTGACCGTTAACTTCATGAGTGGGAATTTATTAAAACAAACAGTGCTCAAAAGATTCTTCGATAGAAGATGCTATATTTATTTAACTAAAAATTGGAAGAACTAACAAATATTTTTTTCATACTCAAGTATTTGTTGGAACTCGTCACCGAGACCTGTCTGCATCCTCAAGGGAATACATTTCTCCTCGAAGATTGGAAACAGCATAACCCAATACTGTGGTTAGAGACTGTGTGATTGAGCTATTCATGCAACCATACCACCCTGAATATACCGCTTTTCGTTCAGTCACTCAAGGTAAACAACGTTGGGCTCACTTAGTGCTTTCATGGATGACCGACTTAAAACACCAGGTGTTACCTGCTTTTTGTGACCTGGTGATTATGCAGTAGAATGCTCGTCAGTCACATAGGAGACCCGTGTTGGATTCCGGGACGAGACATCCCTAAACCAGGCCCAATTTAGGAGTGAAGATGACAAACCTACCCATAAAGAAAGCAACTCCATTGCTTCTGAAACTTCAAGAACTTGAAGCCCTATTATCCACTCTGAATGCGAATGAACGAAAATTACATATAATGTATCTGGTTTCTAAACACTTTATTTATTTATTTTTATTCAATACACGCTGTTCAACTCTAGCAATATAGACATAATCCAGAGGACTATACGATCCGCTGGTTTATGATCTTATCATATTTGACTGAGGATCGAAACGAAGGTATTGGTTATTTCAAGTATTCCAGTTTACATCTGTCATAAGATCAATAAGCCATTTTTCAAAATAGCCTTTTTTCTAATGAAATGACGATTAATTAATATTTTGATGTATCCTATTTCACCTTCAAATAAACGGATAGTAGTAATTTCATTAACAGAAATAAATCTTAATATGATGGGGCCTACAGTAATATTCCCGAAAGAAACAATCTCTCAAACATCTAATAATAGTTTCTATAGTACATGGTTAGGAGAGATTGGCAGGAAGCCCTGGACCAATGTTTCGTACTTCGTGACACTCGTCAGTATGCAGTACCTGCAATATTGAAGGAACTCTTAGCCCTCCTGAGATTTTAACCGGTATCACCCAGTGATTCAGTCAGAGACGTTACCACTTAGCTACTCATGCTCGCAGTTGACCTCCTGTAGTACTGTATTGGATGCTTTTGATTGGACACTTGTTAGTAACTTGTCTAGTCCTTTGTGTGGTGCAGACTGAATCCTATCAGTTATGTTTGCAGCCACCATGCTAGGTGGCTCTTCATCACGGTGAACTCAGAATTGTTGTTATTAGATGCTTATTGTCCACAGCCAACACGCACAACATCTAGGTCCAAGGCCTCCAGCCAACTGCCTCCAACCGTCTTATAACAACAATTCTGAGTTCACAATGATGAAGAGCCCCTTAGCATGGCGGCTGTACTACAAAAGTGACAGACAGAATTCAGTCTGCACCAAACAAGGGACTAGGCATATGATACTAGTAAGTGTCCAATGAAATGTTTCCGTCGCCTACATTTTAAAGTCCGTAGCGAAACAAAACCATGAAGCTATAAAAGGTAGAATCCAAGAAAGGTGATTTTTTTCTTAGGCAATTTATCGTTCATTCAATAACTTATACTGATCAACCTCTGCAACACTGTACAGCATAGCACAGCTGTCCTCCGATATCATTAACTTCAAATCTGACATTCTGTTCCTGCTGGTTATCGTCGAATTAAATTTCATAATGAAGTAGGCTAGATACACATGGTGAAGAAGTAGAATGCTCACGGCGGACACTGACAACTATTAGCAGAATGAATCAGTCTGAAATATTCGCTTTTTGGTCATCAATTGACCAGTCATCTTCATGCCAGTTTACAACAATAATAGCCAATATAAACATCCCTTTAAAATGAGTAAATTTAATCTACTAAAATCAAAGAATGAACTTACTTTTTCTTTCTTGTAACCAATAATAAATCATTAAATAATATTAGATAAAAGATATTTGGTTTACGAATAGCCAATTTCTGTAATACAGATAATCGTCCACTGTCTGATAAGCATTCACGTAATTCACCTTCTTTAATAAGACGTTTATCACTAATTGCTATCCGCTAAACAAGTATAAGTGGTCATTAACATTTAAGGTCAGTGTGAAGATTAATTGTGAATAGAAAATAAAATTGTAACATTATGAATTTACTTTGAAGGTCTAATTTACTGACCTCTGAGTACTTAAAGTGATAGGCATTGTATTTTCATAAAACAAACAAAACAAAAAAATAAAATTTTATCAGTTATAAATTAATATCCGTTGACTGAACTTTGTAAGTGGACTTTGTATGTGGACTTAGATTTTCATTCAGTAAAGTTGAAATGTACTAGTTTCTTAGGAATCATGAGTGATGTTCAACTATAACCTAGGGAGAATTAATGCACCTTTGGATATCTACGCCAAGGATCACCTAATGTTGTGATCAAAGGTGTCAGACTGGGGAATCACTCAGACTGTAAGTGAATTCTATCGGAACTGATGACTTGTCATTGATAGCAAGTTCCCACCGACTACTCACGAGGTGCAGTTATTCATGAAGATGCTTTTTCTTCTTATCTCACACGGTTGTACATTTGAATCGTGGTAATAACATATTCACATAAACTGAAAAAGCTACAGAGGCAAAATTTTTGGGATAACACCTGATGCCAACCACTCTGTAGTTTCAATAGTTAAAATAAAAGTCCTAACTAATTCCTGAGTATATTAGCATACAAAAAAGAGACACTCAGAGTACCATTGATAGCAATATTCTGTAATAGCTGCATAGTCTTAATGCAATTCTCATTGTTATTATTTGAATAGGCTTAGTATATTATCACTGAAAAAGACAGGCTGCGTGTTTAGAACACGGGCTACCAAAAGACCCCATCATTGCACTGCATAGTACATTGATGATTTCCACCACTCGACAAAACTTAGTTTACTTTATAAAATCTGTATACTTTAGCAATTAGCAGTAACCAACGGAGTCTCAGTTGTACTGAAAATAGTTTTTGATATGAGTATGTGTCTAAGTCACTGATTTTATCACTAGAAACGTTTATATGTTTTTAAACCCAATGACAGCTATTGTTTCAATTCTGATGCGAAAATCTCATCTAATTTAATCATTGAAGAACACTCAACATAACTTCACAGATGTCTCATCATTTATATTTTATCAAGTTTGCAGGATTTTCATTGGTTACAGGCTTGCTCATGAACTGACATCAGTTAGAGAACCATTGGAAGGCCTGGTAGTACTGATCAGCTGTTTTCTCCTAGCTTGCACTGCTTGTCAGTATGCACCTACTAGGGTTCGAACCCAGGATCTTCCCGTTACAAGGAGAGCTCGTAGACCAATCAGCCACTAGGACTCGAATCAGTGTCCAGCTGATGAACTCCAACTTTCTGACAATTCATGATGTATATTCAGCGCAGCTGCCAGCCAGTGTCATAGGCGAGTGACTGTTCTCTTACCAGACTTAGTGGACCTGAATGGTTATGACTTCTCACCAGAACTCCAGATAACTTCCTGCACAGATGCAGTCGATAGTGAGCATCAGATTCACTACCAATTTCTGGTTTTACATATTTATATTTTTATACTTTAGAAGCTATGGGTTGATTGGATGAGGAAAGACTCAATGGTGTACCGAAGCTGTAATTTCAAACTATTGATTCCTGATAGTCAGTTATAATTGTAACGATCATTTTCATTACTGACCTATTGTTCCTAAGCAGTGTGCATTATGTCTTTTGTACTTATGACAGATTTGTGAATCAAGTGAAATTGCTTCGTAATAATTAACACATAAAACAGCCCTTGTTAACTTTACTTTTTCTTCAACAGTTAAAAAATTATAAGAAGACACTACAATATCATTTCTACATCAATTATGAACAATTTCCTTATCATTTCGAATTACGAATGTTTCAACAATATCTTGTGATTAACTTGTTGTCATTTGCGAAACTTCAAAATGACTTCAGCTTACGTTAGTATGTTTATTTGTCATTGCTCATGGAGATATCCGAATATGTACTCCATAATGTGACTTTCATATGATCCGTTAAACATCAACATGTAAATGGAATACAGGATGCACGTTTCTTATCATTCTCAACCCACTGACTGGGTGTAAATGCATTTCACTTGGCGATAGTGTCCCTACGGAGACTGATACCTAGCTCCTATGATTTTAAACATCCTGAACCTCACTGTCAGTTACTGTCTATCTCTTAATATTGAATCATAACCAAGTGTATCATTGAAGCATCTGTAACCGAAGATGATATACCAGCAGCGATGGATCACTTCCGCAAAAATGAAATAAATTAGTGGGAAAATCCAGATAATTTCAATAATCAATATAAGATGTCTGTCATGCCTCAGTAACTTGATGGATTACACCTTGACATTTTAAATGATGGATACTGTCTTCAGGACTCAGCAGAAATGTCATTACTAACTGGGATAAAAGTACACCCAGCTGACGAGTGATTGTACATTCACTACTAGCCACCATCTATCAAAATTAGCCATTTCACTTTTTATAAAATAATTAACATTTACATATAAAGAAGTTGAAAATATACACTCACCTTGACATTATCCGGGAATTCAAGGGAGGAAGATAATGTCAAAAGTCGAGATTTTCGATCCATAAGTTCCTTCTCAGTCTCGCTTGCAGTCAGAAGCTAAATGTCAAGTTAAAGTTTTTTTAAAATTTTCGTGTTACTAACAGTTTTTTCAGTAGTAACAAACACATCATTGAAATAATAATTTGTTTGCGTTAATGCCATCACTGGAGTTCATATTTATTCAGTAAATTGCAATCATGAACACAATGCGAGGATATTTATGACTGCAGATTCAGTAAAAAGTGTTGAATTTTATCCGTCTGCCTACCGCTTATACTGAATTAGAATAAGAATCATGTTCATTTACGACTGTAATTAATGAACCACGGTAGAAGTACAGTCGGCTACATGAAATCTGTAGTGTTTACTGCTCTTACCTCAGTGAACTGAAATGATTAATTACTCCCGAGATGCAAGCTTCTAGTATTGATACCTGAGAATCACTTATGAGATAATTACGCGAACGAACATGTTAATGCGTAGAAGCATAAACCAGTGATGTACTTCCTTTATTATGGAAGACTGATCACAAGAATGTACCTGCATCTCAGCGAATTTCTATGCTATCACTGAGACTTTAACTTATGTTCATATACTCCGAGAACTTAGATTTTACCTCACAAACGAGTATGTTGATGTATATGTTTTAAAAAATGTGTATCAGTATGATTTAACTTATAAAGGTTTATTATTGTTGCTTGACCAGACAGAATTATGTACGAGAGATTACTGCAACTTATTCCAGTGAAATAGTTGTTAATTACACCAAAGTATTGTCTTATCATTCTAAGTAAACATTTAGATAAAGGCGATACTAATGATATGACACACTGTCTTTGTGTGGGAATAGTTTCTAATACTTTTCATAAACTGCTTTTTCTCATTCAGTATTACAAATATGACTTTTGACGGCTGTTTCTTCAAATCTTGTCCCAGGGTTTATCTTTTTGGAACTCAAATTTCATAACTGAAGATAAGTGTTATTTCCCTAGTCAGTGCTACCACGTGTAATTTGGCTGATATTGAATTAATCCGATTTTGCAGAATGACTGCTTATCAGTATTATCATGACATTTTAGCTATTATGAACTATCTGCGGGCAGAAGAATTACACCTTATGGTTATTACTGACATTGTTATTCCCCTAAGTTCTGAGGGGAGCATAAGAACTTAACAGCAATTCCCCATTATGTTATGTTCTCTGCCGTCCTCTTTAGCTGGTAATTCCATTGCCCATAGGCTCTTATCTCCGACTAACACAATCTCCTCCATGTCAACTTCAGAATCCCAACTCAACGTTTCCCATAGAGGTTCCCTTTGAGGGATTTGCATGTGATGTCACTCAGCAGGCTGTTCGGCGCGTGTCCGATACGTCCCAAGTCTTTTTGGCATATTTATTGAGCAATAAGTTCTTGGTCAGATTTTTCCTTGTTGCTGATAATTTCGAGCCATTCGATCTTCTGTGTCTAGTGAAGTCAGCTGTTGATGCAGGTTTGAAGTGGCCTGTAAGAAATTCTTTTCGTGACGAGTGTGCCAAGTCTCTGAGCCATACAGAATCAATGGCTTGACATCATTGTTAAGAATCTGAATTTTGTTCTCCTTGATAAGTTCAGCAGTAGATTTCCACACTTATTTCAGAATGATCAATGTCTGCTTTGTCCCAATGATCCTGACTTTGACATCCTCATTCCCGTCGACTGTAGCTGTAGCAATATTGACCGAATAAGAGAAACAGGTAACTTCTTTTAGATTCCTCCCATCGATGGTGACTTGTTGTTGTAATCGGTTGGTTTTCTTCGTCGCATCTGTTATCTCAATGTAAGTTTGAAGTCTTGTTTTGGCTGTCTTACCTGTCTGCTCCTTGGTTTTCCTCAAAAGATCTTCGAGTTTGTGTGACATCAGATATAAGTGATATGCGAAGTCCATATCTTCTAGAGTTTTCTTAACAGTTCAGGGTATTCTTGTCTTACGAACCCATAATCCATTCTACCACAATTAGGAATATCATCGGTGATAGTAGACAATCTTGTCTTACTCCTGTCTTCACTTCAGAGTCTTGGCTCAGTTTTCCGTTGTGGATCAACTGACACGTGGCATTGTGATATGGTTGTTAAATGAGGTTGATATAGACTTGAGGCACGCCGTTGCGTTGAAGTAGTCCCTAAATTAATTCTCCATCAATACTACTGAATGCCTTTTCAAAGTCGATTAGGCTGACGTAGCGATCTGACTGCCACTCTATGATCTGTTCCACGATGATGATCTTCTATTCCTGAATCCAACTTGCCCCAGGCAAAGTTCTGCATCCGCAGCATCTTTCAGACTCGCCAGAATGACATAACTGTGACCTTTGAATTAGAATAAGGTTAAGGCACGCTGAGTTTATATCTATTATTACACCTGGACTCCTGGAACGTGATTCTAGAGGCAGTGAGGAAAAATGATGTAAGACCTGGTGAGGCTCCACTTACACTACACGAAAAATATTCTTCTGAACATGAAAATAAGGACAAATAGTTCAAAGAAGAAGAAGAAGAAGGTGTTTTAAGCAATTTTATTCGGACACCCACATAACTGCACTCGATTTTTCAATCATTGCAAGCAAAGGTAAACCAGTTTGGAGTGTAAGCAAAATATTTCAAAACAGGGAAAATTGAGGCAGAAGTAACCGCGGGTATAACAAATAGTAAGTTTAGACTAGAAATGGCGTTATACTGAAATGCATTTAAAAAATTAGTGGTTAACATATACAACATAGGAACAAGTACCAAAACTTGTTACACAAAAGATGAACAGGATACAGAAGTGGGTGGTTAAGAAAATAATAGTAATGCTTATAATACCGAACCTACAAGACGAAGATATTAATAGTAGTAAGATATCGGTGACAGTTGAGTTTGGAAATAAGAATTTCGTGGACATCTTTCTTGTGCACGCATAAATCCAGGCTTTCCATATGAACGCAAACATAATATTTCCGGCAGACTTCTTTTGACTTTTTAAGTAACCGTGATTGGTTTTCGCTTACAAATCGAGTTTACAGTGTGATAAGTTTGTCTTATCGGTGAATAATTTGTGCATATTTCACATACATTCGAGACTGATGGAGATCCTGTCTACTACTACTACTACTACTACTACTACTACTACTACTACTACTACTACTGTTATCAGGAGTAATGCGAAGTAATGAAAATCTTTTCCAGTATACTTAATCAAAATGTTTGCGTGTTCATGCCAATTTTTTAGCGTTGTTTATTTCTTTGTTTTATTTCCTGTTAAAAGATTCTATGTAACCCATTTCTAGGTACACAGGTCGTCTCAAGTTTCGCTTTGAATAACAGACAGATACAGTTTTAATATCACTTTGAAAGTTTTGCTAATTCACTGAAGTTTATGTATGTGATTTATCCAACTGGAGATCGATAAATTTAAAGTGGATAGGCAGAGTAGACGAGAACTTTTGAAGACAGACAAAGAAAACAACACTTATATCTTACTCACAAATTCACGGAAACTTAATACAAAATAATATGTATTAATGTCTGAGTATTGGTAGACAAAGTTTTAGATTTATTTATCCACAAGACTGGGTTATACAATACAGTAAAAGTTTGTCTTTTCGATTAATTTATATATTGTGGAATTTCGGTTAGCGTAACAGTTACATTGATATCTATACAATAATCATATCATGTTACTTTATATAACCGTGTATGAAATTGACAAATTCTATGGTGACTGATAGGCTGATCATTTGTCAAGAGAATCAGTTTCCTTTCATCCATGAATACTCATTACTGAGGGTTGTTCACGAATACAAAACGGAGCCTAAAAGGAGTATCTAATTGACTATCGTCTCAAATGTCGCATAGAACCTATGTTTCTTTTCAGGAAAAAGGAGTGATGATTGCACCAGTATTGAATCAACAAAGTGAACATGTTTATAAAGATGGTCGTATAAACGATATGGAGAATTTGCGAAAAGTTTGTAGTCAGCTATAGGATAATTCATCGCATGGAAATCAAGCAAAGAATACCTTTTCTCCTGCATCTATTTGATAGAGTAATTGCATAAAAACTTACCCTATTCAATTCTCGAAGTGCAAGTTGTACATTTTCACGTTCTCTATCACTTGGTACACGGAAAGGTCGTTTTTCCAGTGTTTTATCCATAGAATCACGAATAACAGCATCTTGTAGACGTCGAATAACTTCAACTAATAATTTCAAGCGTGTTAAACGTTGCATAGGTAGAGCTAAAAATGATGTGATCAGGTTTTTTCCACTTCTTGGATGCGAATGAAGTCTTTCTAATGCTTCACGAAAGCTTTCACGTTGGCTGTAAAAATAAAATTCATTGAAAGATTACATAGGATAAGAAATGAAGTAAAAAACGACAGAATTCAGTAAGCACTAATTCTAACAATTAATTTCAAGACTTTGGTCACATCTTGGTGATCAGTCAATGTACAGCTTACAATCTTCCGTTTAATTCTGATTATAGGGTGGGAAGAATATTAGTGAAGCGTAATCTAAAGCACTGCTGAGTTCAAGGGTTAAAGAATAAGTATAAATGTTTCCATTCTTGAGCATCATATCATTCAGGAAAATCTAGAGTTCTCAAGGAGATTTCCCTAAATAGCTTATATAGCTGCTTAGTATTATGATCTGACAACTATCATTTCACCATCTGTATACAGGCATACATTGTAATATTTATTTTTACGAGTTGATCACGGATTGATATCAGTTAGAGAACCATTGAGAACTATGGAGTACTGGACAGCTGTTCCATCCTGGTTTTGGGAATCATCGGCAGTACGCACCCACTGGCGTCTGACCCCAGGACCTTCCGGTTACAAGGCAAGCTTGTATACCATTCAGCCACTGGGACCCGATTCAATAGCCCACAAATTCTATTTTCTAACAATTCGTGATTCAGCACGACCTCAACCAATGTCGCTGGTGGGACATCCATCCTCACACTTGACATTTGGATGGACCTCACTGATCACGACTTCTCACTAGAACTCCAGGAAACTTCATCCTGTGGCAAGTCACTAGCGAGCATCAGATTAATTTTCTATGATATCAATCCATGATCAACTAGTAAAAAAAAATCTATTCCTTACAAACGAATCATAGAAAAAAGCTGTAATATTTAATTTAATTTGGACTTTCCAACTGACCAGTTGGACTAAAGTGATCAGCCTCAGGTTCACATGTTGGCTCCTTGCACCGATGCTTCGACGATGTTTGGGGATTTAACTTGAAATAATGAGTTGAATGGTGACTACAAAGAGCAACGGTAGGTACTGGGCTCAAGCCGCAGTGGGAACATCATCACTCTCTGAGGAATGCAGGCACACCCAGATAGCGACTCCCAAATAGGATGAGATGTGTACCCCAGATTCCACTGCTAATCAACATCAAACAAGGTGCTTCAGGTTGAACCTTGCGACATTAAATGCAATCTTTATGTCTAGAACGCTACATACATCAAATAAGTTTAGCACATCAAGAGTGGTGTAATTAAAACAGAATCCTTTTCTGTGGATAAAGTTGCCTAATTTAAAAATAAACATAACCTCCCTAAAACTCCTTGTTTCCTAAGGTATTTCCAGCCTATTTAAGCATATTTTACCTGCCATTATAATGTTTAAGTTTACAACATTCTTGGCCTGGCCTTCCTTTCTTGTATAATATCTTCTACTTTTCATTCTAACTCTCCTTCTCGTTGAAAACACTCGACTTTAAAAAAAAAAAACTCATTTTTGAATGTAGGTTTGCCTTTAACTGAACTTTCCAAGATAGCCTCGAGCTGTCAAATTAATAGTGATGTAACATGTTGTAAATAGAGGTGAAATGAAAATCTGGGTCGCAGTATTATTCTAACCATTGTCTTCTAAATTACCGATTCGGCACTCCACCAGTTCAGATAGGAGGCCTAGCCTCTGGTTCAAACCCTACCGTGACTTGCATTTTCATTCCAACTTCAGTCATCACCCGCTACACAGATTCATTTGTTCAGCATTTAATAATGATAAAATCAGGAAAGACTTTCATTGTCGTATCTTCACTGCATAACTTACCATAATGTGCGAAGTGTATCCATCTGATAGGTTTGATTTCTTAGGTAAGTAATATATGGTTCAAAATTGACACCACCAGCATGTTTTACAATTAAATCGCAGACTTCATTTAAAATTGGCATTCTTGCCTCCCATCTTGCCTCCAGATCACGCAGAAACCTTGATAATTAGAGAAATGGATTTATTATGAATGATCTCAAGTTTATGTTTCTCTGAAAGTAAAGTAAATATTGATAAAATTACTGTCCTGTACGGCAAGAAGTTCTGAATAAATAAATGTCTCATTTCATGGTAAAATTGAAACCTAACAGTCTTGGAGCATGTTAAAGCTTTTCAGAATAGGAAGACATTGCTTTTTTCTACTGAAGTCAGGAAGAAGGATATTGTATTGTTTTCATTAAGTTTCTTTATATTACACCACAGTTTTAATCATTCAAAGTATTCCTACGATTCAGATAAGAGAATTTAATGTCAAATTTCTGGAATAAATTATTTATCTTCCCATTTGAGCCAGTAATCACAAAGTGTTTAAAGTCGAATCAAAACACCAACAAGAAACCATCACCAAAGACCACAAGAAAATTCATTCTACCGTACATGAGGTATATCTCTGAAATAACAGCTAGAATGCTGAAACCATTTGATATAGATATAGCACACAAGCCAGTAAAATCGCTTAATTCGATATTATGCAAACTAAAAGATCCAATAGAAAAAGGGAATAAAATTAACACCATTTACAAAATAAATTGTATGAACTGCAACAAGCATTACATCGGCCAAAGTGGGCGTCCCCTTCGAATCGGAATCCTAGAACACAAATCAGCCGTGAAAAGACACGATATGTATTCTTTAGTATCAATGCATATAGACAATTATGGTCATCAATTTGATTGGGATAATGTCAAAATCTTAGACAGAGGAAACACTAAAAGTGCCAGGGAATTCCTAGAAACCTGGTACTCAAACGTAAATGCAATTAACAAGCACGTTAATATAGACGAAATATACGAACTAATAAAAAGTAAATCAGGTGACCAGAAAGTTTAAAATCCAAGTCAATAGAAAATAGTCAATACATATATAAAGATAGTTACCAGGAGACGCAGTTATAACACTCATGAAGAAATTTAAATCATTTCACTTTGTGCCAAATATGGCGCTGAAGATGTTGTCCAGAAGGGCGACGAAAGCTTCGCAACTAAACCAACCAGCTCAGAGAACACTATTAATTGCAAATCATCCACCTGAGCTACAAATCTTCTCTACTTGTTTGATTCTGTTTCCGACGTCACTTGTACAATTTCTTATTTGAATCAACAGTTAGTTTCTGAACGTATTCCTGATTGGAAAATGTACTTAGAATCAGGCAGGAGCAGTAAGGATTTGGGTAGTAATTCCATGTCAGTTATCTAGTAGGATGATGAGATTTAACTGTCAAATATCGATGCTGTATAAACACTAAGTCACTACTAATTATCTATAGGTGACAGTGCATTTATAACTGATATGACTAACTGGAAGTCTGATTTAAAGAGAAACACTTGTATTTACTTCTTGAGTTGTATCAACTGAGTAACAGACTTAATTATATTGTACACACCTTTAAAGAGCACATGGACTCGCTAAGTTACATAGCTTATTTATTCCTATAGGTTCTAAAGTATGAAATAGAATCTATCATATCCTAATATCACCCAGTTTATGCAGGATCATACCACAGCTGTGCAAAGATAATTATGTATGCCAATGGATCACGATAAATCCACTTCATTTGGACAAAAGAGACCAAGTAACAATTACTCTGAAATGCTAAATGCCTCTTTGAACATACAAAATCTGAATACTAAAATTCTCCAGAAGATACTAGATGTATTTGAGAATAATAGAAAAGAAGTTCTTTATGATCTTCTTCCAGGAAAACGAATACTGAAGTAACCTTTTCAAAAGATGTCTCCCCTCAATCCAGCCGAACAAAACAAAATCTTCTCATTCAAGTTGTAGAAAATGTTTTTACTCTATATGAAAAACATTAATCAAATAATCGTTAGATCACTGAAGTTTCTTAAAAAATACAAACATCACCTTAAAAGCAACAACACCACTTCTTTCTATGTTAAGAAGAAAAAGAGTACTAACATCGGTAAAAGACAAAGTTCTTGTGAGCAACTGCGGAATATGTAAACATTCTGAACACCGAAAGTATAAAGAATTCCACAGAAATATATGACCTCTCATCGTAACCGGAAGGTCATGAAATCAAATCACAGTGCGTATTGTAAAGGGTCCCAAACCAGGACGAAACAGATTTTTAGTAACCACAGGTTTTCTAACGGTTATCTAACAGATATCAGCTCATGATGAAATCCTGTAAAAAATCTCAACAGCCTGGTACTCAAATCAATTTTTAACTGACAGAATTGTTGAAATAAGTTAAATTTATCAATAAATAAAGTATATGTAACACAATCAAAATATCACATATCATTGTTAGCGGGACAATCAATATCAGTAAAAGTGAATACAACTGCAATCAAGGTAATCACGAAAGACAGTTGTATTATTCATATGGGGTCCAACAACTCACTTTGCACTGTATTTAACCTTGAAGAAGGTTTCCAGAAGGTCAATTAAAGCCCCATAACCAAGTGATATAGTTCAGTGAATAAAATAACACCATAAACATCCACCGGGACCACACATTTTCTTCCTTATTTCATTACATATTATACTATGTGGCATCAGATAACATCATTTTGGGTAATGTGTTAATGTAGGCACACAAAAATAGGTTTCTACACTTACTCTTTAGAACATCAGATGCAGTGAACAACTGAGTTGTATACACAGTTTGAAAAAGACTTTGGATATATATTTTTAAAATAATTCGTCAAGTTTACACTGAAAATCAGGCGATTAAACTAATCTTTTCTTTTGCAAAGATCACTGGAATCAGAAAGTAAATATCTGCTCTTTATATTAAGCGTATGAGTTGTTGGGCGTAAACAGGTTCCGTAACTAAATGTGTTCATTAACGCAAATCGCTTTTATTTTTATTATTATTTTTGGTTACAGCTTAATGCCACACTGTATTTTCAGTACAAGTATGGAATTTTCAGCATGGATATCGGTAGCCCAAATTTTGCAGGCCGACCATAGATATCGGGTGTGCGTCGGCAAGGGATCGGAACCCCGGACCATGTGTATGGTCGGCGAGAGTCCTAACCACTGTGCCACCGACCATAATTTATTATAATAATAGCTTTATTCCGAACAGCATGTTTATATACAGTACAGAATGTGAAGGTTGGTTTTATCTACTACTTATACAAAATCTTCAGGTAAAATAGTAGTCTACAGTGTGTGATTCGACGGAGTTTTGTTCTATCTATAACATGCACCTACTCCTCATTTTTACTCCTTCAAAGTCCACCTAACGGTATACTAGAAGCCACATAAAAGTCCACGTGGATGAAGATTGTTCTTCAACAAAGTAAGTGTGTGGTTCAAACAATGTATAACTGCAAAATTAGGTAAACCAGTAATGTATACAGGCCGCCCATATACCCGCTAAATCACCTTCCTTATTACTCCAATTTTTCTCAACCATTGTATATAATCAACTCATAACTCGAATACTCATTAGTTGGTACGCAAAATACTTTACAGTTAGTGTTTGTTGAATTACTTTTATTCTTGTTTTGATATGACTTCTCACCATCTGTGCGTGTATTAATATTCTTCTAAAATATATTTTCACATTTAAGTATTTTATACAAGTCTTACTATGACCTCAGCTGGCTTTTTCACGGTCTAACCAACTACCTTTACCGTATTTAACTATTCTTTCGCTTGAATGATGAACAGTGCCTTTTATCCATGAGAAATATTGTAACATTAATCAACAAAACTTTATTAACTCTTGTACATATAATGGATTCATTCTTCACAAAGGTGGAGAGTGAAATTACTTTAACACATAAAAATGATCGAAAATGAATGTCAAATAATATAATATAAACATCTGCGACTAGTCATTTTTCTATTTCACCTCATTCATCAGTGAGGAATTCAATCCTAACATTGACATTGTCAGATGGATACATAAACAAAGAGATATGTCAAATCACTTTCTACTTACATTTCACTAGCTAAACATACAAGTAATACATTTGAAAAGAGATGATGCTTTTCCAGTGGTTTAAGCAGTGGACGACGTGTGTTACTGCTTGCGGGCGTTTGGTTGCCAGCATCTACACAGCTATCTGTAGAACCGACATTATTACTAGTAGCAGTTGTAGTAGTTGTAGTAGTAGTACAAGGGGGAGTTGTAGCACTACTGACATTGTTACTGTTGTTATTCGTAGTTGTCCCATTTCCAGTCGTTGTGGTTGTTGCATTTGTTGGTGCTGTATTCATGTCAACTGTTGTCTGATTATTCGCTAGGTCAGGTTGTCCCGGCAATGGTGAACCTGGTTCTTTGCACACTTTACTAGGTGCTTGATTTGACTGAAAACTACTTGTGTGATTCAGTGGTTCACATTCGAATTCAGGAGCATGATAAAAATGATTTACTAGAACATTTAAACTTTGATAATACGATGCTTCAGATGTAATCACTTCAAACATGGCCTATGCATAGAAAGCAAAAGAAAACGATTATTGGGATTAATTTCGGCCTACATTTGATAGATTAGGCATGAGATAATATCCAGAAAGTTCTAATTGGAAGCCATGAAAGGTAAAACTAATTAAATCTGCAGATTAGATCAGGTTGTCACTGATGACGTTGAAGGATAGTTAAAGTATGCCGTGAAATAGGAAAAATGTTGGAAAATTTCACCCACTAAATCCCGGTTCATTGGCTGAATGGCACTGTTGTCACGCAGAGACCTGTTTTAATTAATTCACAGTTATCACTTCAAAAACATCATTCAGAGCTGATTGACCATTCATTACCCTTAAAGGCTAGAAGCATCCTGTTGTTGTTCTGTGAACTGTAAATGTACTGAAGCATAGTTTAGAAATCTCTGGCATATACTGGACAAGGAAAAAGAAATACCATTATCTTAATCATGGTATTTTTGGCTGATCAGATTAAATATTCCGCCTCACTTGTTTCTTTAGTGTTATTAAATAACAATTTCAACTCTGGCGGTCGCGCTACAATCAATATATTAGTAGAAGGTAGAATTGAGAGGCATATGGATTCAGTCTCAATGGCTGAATGTTATACGTCCTCAGCTTGTAACCTGAAGGCTCTCGATTCGATCCTTGGTGGGGTCATGGGTGTGTACTGCTAAAGGGTACCAAATTACGGCCAATCAACTGTCCGGTAGTTCCTGGTTTTCAAAAGTCCTCTAACTGAGACTTGTTCATGATCAATCTTGAAATCAGTCATGTCCCTGCAAACCAAAGTTTGAAAATGGCACACAAACTACTCGTTTGGTGGTGGTGGTGATGGTTAACAGTAGAATCTAAGATGCTCCTCTCGTTCTCCAGGGAACTCATCATCTGGATGCACCCGTCTCTCAATGAGCGATGGATTCCACTACTCACGACCACTAGGGCAGTAATGCCTAGTTAGTAATTATGGTAATATTGAAAAAGCTTATTTCTGCTACCAGCGTTTTAGGGCCAGTAAACAAATAAAAAAAAATCATAGTTATGATAAGATCAATGAAAATAAATCAGTTGGAAGTGTAAGTGGTTTCTGACTGACGAAACTATGTGTTTATGAACGTGCTTGGGCTGTTAGAATATGAAGAAAAATACTGTGATGTACATACATAAATACATATACATAAATCTTTAGCAAACGTTTTCCACATAAATAACTCACCTCCTGCAGTTGTATTTCATGCCTTGTTAAACGTTGAAGGCAATTACTTTCAACAACCTGTAATTTTAAAGGTTTTTAAGCAAAGTATGTATTGAAAAACGCTGAACAGTTATCGCATATGTTTTAATATCAAAACGTTTTACAATTTTATTAAATACTACTCAGATACAGATAGGTCATGATAAAATTCGAGTAGCTTTTTTTCTTGATTTCTTGAAAACACTTAGATTACTTTCTGAAAGCCTCTTATAATACTAACAGATTTTCTCGTTGTTGAGTATAATGAACTGAAACGTCTGTGATGCGAAGTTTAATATTGAATGATGGATTTGTCACAGAATAATTTCGTGGTGCTGATCAGTTTTCAGCTACCCTCTGCCTGAATCGTTATATACGTTAAAAATAAAATATTCAGAATGAGCATAATTGAAGGACACACAGAAATATGCACAAGTTATTTTGGAAATTATTTGAAACGCAACCTTTATAAATGAGCGTTGTCAGAAATTTCAGTTTGACTTCTCCAAAATCACTTGTGGCTGTAACTGAGGTTTTAAAGGCGATACTGCGGCACCTTTTCATGAAGCCAGTTGAGTTTTTAACACCAATATTAAGTCAGTTGTTAAGTGTGAATGAGAAACTTGGCGCGTCACGAAAAGCTTTTCAAACAGTCTGCTACAGACTTTGGTCGACAGCTGACTTCGATAGCCAGAAACGATAAGTAAAGAGAAACTCTGAGAGCGAATTAATCAACAGAAATACTGTAGAAAACGGAGATGAATTGGATGCACGCTGAAGAGACTACTGAGAGACGTCGCGCCCAAGGGCCTCAAGTAGAACCCAACTGGGAAATGACGATCCAGAAGTCCAAAGGTTGCATGAAGGAGATCATGCGCAGAGGAGGTGAGGGCTTATGAGCAATGATTTAGCCAACAGGATGAGATGGAGATGTGCTGTTGAAGCCCTAGATAATAATAATGGCATAGTGCCATGAAACTACAATCACTTTAGTGTACTTAACAAAAAGTCAAATTGTATGCTTTAGGATCATTAATTTTAACTAGCTGTTAAATCGTCAGTATGTCCGGCCTGGTTCGAAACCGTAATATGGTGGTTGGGAAACAAATACTCATGAAGAGTGGAAAAGAAACCTATTCAATCCGACAAAATATACAATGGAAAATTACAAGAATTGATAAATCAAAGTGATACAAAAATGTTTTGTTCGACGACTTATTCAGTACTGTTTTGGGCTTGTATTCGATGTCTACATGATATGAGTCCCAACATGATGGCAAGCCACCTAGCACGGTGGCTGCATTGCAAACTTGACTGATAGAATTGAGTTTGGATCAAACAATGAACTAGATATATGTCACCAGTTAATAACTATTATCTTATCGGAGTATCTAATAAATTCCTACAGGAACTCAATCGCCAGCCCAAATAGCTCTGTGGTAACGCCTTTGACTGCAGTACTGGATGACCTGAGTTCGAACCTCAGGAAGGAGGTGAGTTCTTTCAAAACTAGAGATATGCTTTGCTGAATAGTGAGTGCCAACAAGCACTAAACTCGGGCCCAAGGCTTCTTGCCAACTGCCTCCAGCCATCTAGTAGGAGGTTTGGTCATCTGTTAGGATATAGGAATATCTGACTGGTGATCTTATTCCCAGTCACCACTAAATAAATTAAGCCTATGTACCCACATTTTTTACAAATATTGGATTATCAGATAAGTAAGTTTGTCTTTAACTGTTTTGAAAATGACAAAACTAATTTTAGTAGGTCAGAATATGACTATTAGGGTATTATTAGTTCCTAACATGATAACTTTGAACTACCGTCTCAGTGGCACTGTATCTTTAGCCTAATATAAATTATCTACTTAACAGCTTTCAGTAATCAAAAGTTGGAAACAAATAAACAAACTATCATCATACTTGTTTCCACTTACCTCAGGCATTTCTGACCATGCAACTCGAAAAGCTCCTTGACTTCCACCACCAAATCTACTAGTTTTTTGCCCTAAAGTTTGGCCTATCTGAGTTCCTGTAGAATCAGTCAACTGCTGTGGTCGATTCTGTTCACTCTCCTTAATTTTCTCGTCTGTTTTGTCATCGAATTGTTCTGTACTGGGAAGAGCCAATGATTTATTGAAGTTCTGTTGATTAAAGCGAAATATGAAGATAAATGCAAACGTGTTACGTCTTCCGACATGGATACATTTTAATTTAATATCCGTTTTTAGAAGATTTATATTCAACTTTATTCAAATTTGATTTGTTGTTATGATCAGCCTTTCCATTCCGAAATTATTCATTACCTTCTTACACCACCACGTCATAAGTAAACATTGTTAACTAAGTCTCTCCCATCAGCATTATTTCTTTTTAGCCAAATTCGACTAATTATTGGATGGAAGAAATGTGATGGATGGGATTTAATTGTAGGAAAATGAACAAACACACTTCTGGTGTCACCACTTTCATTTATGATAAACTAAATAAATATAGTACTGTATGTATACGGGGTGAATTGAATCCAAAAAATTAACATTTTCTGAATTTACTTTCTTTAATTTTGAAGAATGAGTCACCAGCCAAACAAACGATGAGATAAGAAATACTTTGTCTATAGAATGGCGGCATTTTTTATTCTAATTGAAATTTAGCAATTTAATGTTTTAATGTCTACAGTCAAGCTTCGGGATTATCAAAGGAGGATTTTTCAACAAGCACTGCTGTAAACATTTCATCTGTATGACAAACCTAGGAGAAGTTGGTTGTTCACAGGTCACAAATGGTTTGGTTATTCACAAAATTAGTAGATACCACTGTTGCCTATTTTCATGCTGCCTCATCCAAAACACTTTGTGAATACACAATGATTACTTGAGTTGAGTACAACCATTAAATTAGAGTCTACTGATCGTGCATCTGTCTGAAGACGTCGTATAGAAAACGATCTTAGCACTAAAAAGCCATATACTAAACATCAGCAACCAGCTCTAAATAAGGTAGACCTAGAACGCATCCTGGTTTAGGAAAATATCAGTAAGCTTTATCTTCTACCTCATTTAAGAAATCATATTACCTCACTAATTTGTGTATGTGCGTTACTCACTGAGAAAGTCAACAGTTTTATCAGTTATTGAAGCGTTGCAATCAGTACAGTGGATCAGCAACAAAGTTGTACATTAGTACATTAAGTTTTACAATAATGCTCATAAACAGTTTATCTAAACATTGGATAAATCTAACTGATAATACAACTTACGTCTCCTGGCTGCGCTATTCCTTCATCTGTTGAACCAGAATAAACAAGTTGTTTATTCTGTGGCAGACCTATAAAAATAGTAAAAATAATAATAAGATCAGAATTGATTAAAACACCTTTTTTATAGATTATTCTCTCCTAGCATGTGACTTAATGGAGGTCCGTTAGAATATGCTTCCATTTTTTATATACTGAATTTTTGGAAATTTCAACTTCAACTACGGCTAAATAAACGTATTTTTCATTTCATCAACTGAAAATGATTGTTCCGATTTCTGGTTGGTTTACCCCCTTTATACTACCAAAGAGCTTCAAACTAGGACAACATAGGTGTCCATGACTTTCAAACTGATACCGCTTCGCTATGGAATCTATCCTGAAATGTTTCAACTGAAAGGATTTGCAGCTAAGGTTGAGGATAGAAATGTTTTTGTTATTCTCGAGGCTTTGATATTTATTCATGGGCGTTTCGTTACCAGGTTATAAAGTATTTCCTGCAGCAACTTGATTAAGAAGGGTGGAGTGACTATAAGTTGAAAAAATATTAATGAGCCCTTTTCTTATTTATTTTCAACTGTAAATGTGGAGCTAGGTATGTCGGTCTTTCGACACGAGTTTTGTCCAAGAGGGTGCAAGAACACTATCCTGCATGGTTACGAAAAGGTGAAAGTGGAGCAATAAGAAGCGCGATCATTGAACATCTGGTTGATAATGATCACCCTATCTCTATAGCCTCCACCTTCAAAGTCATCTACAAGGCAAAGAGTAATTTACCCAAATCCCTACGTACCCGACTCGTCTGTATTGCTGAAGCTTTGGCTATCGAAACAGAAAAGCCAGATCTCTGTGTACAGAAAAAGTTCGTTCAACCCCTCCAACTTTCATGCTCTTAATTCCTCTATGCTAGAGTATGGTAACCCCCAATCATATTTTAGCTCTACCAATTTTTCATTTTTTTCATTTCTGTCTATTCAGTTTGTATACTCTTCCTTATTACGTCAATTGTTACTACTACTACTCTCACTTTTAATTGTCCCCGGTATTATTTCACTTGTTCCACTTGTCATTCTAAATCAATTCTTTTTTACAACATTAAATTCTATGCTATTAAATTTCACACAATATTACGTAACGTTTTTTTATTCGGTTTGTTTACTAATCTTATAACTGCACACCATTTTTCAAGTTCTATCCATCCTATGAATTATTCTATATATGACATTAATTTGCTTTGCCACTTGTCAAATTTAACTACGATTATAATCACTAACATTTTAGATTTAATTGCATTTCATATTATTATTACTTTATGCACTCACACCTATGTTTCAATCCCCTCACCGGATTTAACTTCTTAAAAACCATATATATACTGTTGTACAGCTTGATGATAAATTCGTTGAAAAGAGTTTCTTCGCTGAATCATTTGTTTTGATTTTCTATATGTTACAATGGGAATTTTCCATGAACTGTAAATGTGACAAATGTTTTTTAGTACATAATTCCTTGACTTCGTATTCTACTGTGTATTCACTGAAAAGGTTAACATCCAAGCTGATTAAACATCTGTGATCAAACATCAAGGCTCCGAGAACACGAAGCAATCTACAGCGCTTTACTTGTTACATTTCAAAGATGTGTATATCGGTCATGACAAACCGTGTAGCCAAACATCACTAGGTATATATTCGATTTCACTCTGTCAATCTTCTTTGTTGTGGACGTACAGCGGAACAAAGAAATTCATTGAGCCATAAAAGTGTCCTATTATCCAGGTTGCCTGGCGAATTTGCTTATCTCTGCTGCTGGAATTCAAGGAATTGCGTCTCAGAACCTGGTGTTTAATGATACAAGAGTTTGGTGGCGACATTGCGCTATAGTGCACATGTTAGTTAAAAACTACCTTCATTAGTTGGGTGGAGTTAAAGTCAGTACTGCTATCAAGTGAAGGTAGGATGGGCTTAATAGTCTGCCAGTTAATCAGTCGATATGCAATTCCGCAAGATTAGACGGTCACATGACACGTATTAATCAAGTTAACGAACTGAGGAACCTTAAAAAGTGCCAGTGACAAGTCTCCTAGAAAACTAGAAGCCACCATAAGGCCAATTTTACAAGTTATAGATTCTCACTTTTATCACTATTATTCAGCCACTTTATTATAGTCTAGTGCCTGAATAATTTTACTAGTACTTGTCAATTACCGATTTCTATTTCACAAGTAAAATGATTACCATGAGTGTTGTTAAAGTGCCTGTTTAAAACAACATCATTTTAAACAATTCACTTAACTAGCAATGAGCTAAAGAAATCCACGTAAGCTCTTAAGTATAAAAAATAAATTAAGGATGCTTATAATCACGTTTTACAATATGATAAACATCTAAAAACTAGTCATATGACTGATTCAACAACATATGTGAAAGACATGAGTGCATTTTGCACGTATTTGATTAATATGATTATTATTATAATTAATTGGAGAAAGCATACGTATATTTACATCATCATTACCATCAAAATCGTAATGATGTTCCTTTTTTTTTGCTTGATTAGGTTAACTTCCCTTTCACTTTACAAAGAATTTCAGACTGTTTACTGGTCATATATCGATTAGGTGATTTACAGAATTGAGTTATTCAGTTTTCTACACAGTACACAGAAATAACTCCTACATATGCGTAGGAATAAATCACAGATGTATTGTTTGTAAAGCAATATGAAATAATGAAACCATATAATTTGCAGAGCAAACGTTTTGAAGATGATTTGTTTCAAAACACTGGTTTCTGGACGAAGAATACTATTTCCGACAACTTCCCTATTAGGTTCCACAGTTACATATCCGTATTAGTTAAGGAATAACCCTGGTTTCTAATGACATGGAATTATTAAGATCAAAAGCCCGAGAGGTATATGTGTGAGTAAGATGTTACTAGTTTGTTTGTGTATAAATATAGTGCACTTGACTGAAAGCCAGATATCATATATTGCATTCTGTAGGGATTTCGATTGATTCCAATGCTGATTTTGTAAAGAGCTGACATCAGTTACGGAATAGTTGAATACCAGGGAGTAACGGCACCTGATACATTCTTTCTTATCTACAATCCCACCAAGGGTTGAACTCGGTAACGGATTTCAATTAATCACCACGAAATCCAAAATAGACATCAGTATCCAGTCAATTAAGGTTTGCTAGATGGATGTAGTAAAGTTCGAGCGAGTTAGAGGTGGTGGCTGGTGGAATCCACCATGTCAGGATGAGAAAGACGCTCATACAATGACAGAAGTTAGTTTTAACAGGTCACTGAAATCCAAATCAATGAAGGACAACATTAAAAACAGGGCGAAAAATGTGTAAGTTAATATCCAAGATTATTATGAAAGTGTAACGATGCGAAGGCGAATGGGTCACAAAAAGTAATGATTACGGAGTGCGTAGAATGTGCACATACACGGCTAAAGATCATATCTAAGAGGATTGACACAAAAGAGCATTTATCCCCTTACACATTCTACAACAGGCCAGATTAGTAGTATAAGTAACAGCTAGACTTATTTCTTTTGTACCCAAAGTTCCGACTGTTTTAGGCGAAATATTATAGCTTTTACTACGTAAGATGTTCATAACCTTTCGCACTTCACAGTTTCTTCGTTACACATTACACAAGATAAATGACTTCTTCAATACTTGCTGTGTGGTCTATCTGAACTAAATGTGTTAACATCGAACTGTTATTGTATTTTTATTCAGCCATTCTGGCAGGTGTTCTTCTGTTGACCAAGTCAACAGTTCCTGTGTAACCAGCTGTATTGACTGTCTCCCTAGGAACATAATTTTTTTTGCTCAACCTGAATAAATTCCACTGTTGTCATTAGTCATCAATTTGCTTTACCACATTTCCATGGTTAATCATAATCACTCATTTTGATACCTGACGTTCTATTTATTACTATGCTTATATGTATCACTATATATCCATGCAACCTAGTAAACGTTTACTGACATATAGCTCTTGCATTTCTGATTTTAATAATTCCGTATGATCAAGAAGTATTGATATTTTCAAGACCAATCATTACCCAATTGTGGAACCTAATAAAGAAGTTGTCGGAGATGGTATAATTAGTTCACAAATCAGTACTTCGAAATATATAATTTATTGTTTATACATATATATGGATAACATTACAACTTCGGGGAATACTGCAAAAAATCCTACTTTAAGCAAAATCAATGTTTTAACTGAGATTCAAATAGTGTTGCCCTGAGTAAAAAATATCAGTACTAAGTTATTCAGGATTAGTGTAGCTATCAAAATCAGTGAGACCTGAATCACATACCTTTTTCAATTACTAAAAGGTTCACTGTAGACCCCATCTCAAGCCAATATCGGTTAGAGCTTCATATAGATCGATAGACAATCGTTTCATCTTATTTTTGAATTTTGCAACAGTTCGAAACCACGGCCCTACAAGTTATCCAATTCAGGATCTTCAGGTAACAAGGCAAGCCCACTGACAATTTAACCAATGGGTTTGAATCCACTAAACCATGGGTTTAAACTTCTCCCACTTTGCGTGATATAGAGCCAACTCAATCCAGTTGAATCTGGGAATGTCTTTATTCATAATCTGCGTGGTTGAGACTTCTCATTGGTGCTCTCCTGAAAGTCCCTCCCATATTCGGTAAGTATCGAGCAGTGGACGAATTTTCGAGTGTTGAGTTCCAGGGATTACACTGTTTGCTTGGTCTGTGAAGCAACATTTGAATGTGTGTAGGACGACCATATCCTTTCTTAGCTAACGATCAACTACTAACATAAGACCTAAGTAGAAAGGAAATTTCTTCGGGTATCTTTCGCTTGTATAATACAGAATCAATATGACGGTAACCAATATAACTGCATATCTCAGAGTGTGTAGATTGAGATCTGTGGGTTATTGGTTATGTACAGTGGTTCTCAAGTTAAACAGTTTGATACCGCTATACGTCGCGGTGTTCTTTGAGTCTTGATCTAGAGTTTGAGGTGGAGCCAGTAAGCTATATTCAACGTCTGAAAACAATATAACAGTTGGGTAGGCGAAGTGGGGGCGACTGACTTGAGCTGCAGCACAATTCTGTCAGAACTACTAACCGCGCTCTCCATCGGATGATGCAAGTCATCACATTACCTCACTCACTCAATGAATGATGCATAACTATCCACTTAATATCACCAAACTTGCTGCCAGTCCGTCTTTATTTTGAAATTGTAAATATGAAAAGTTAGGAGGAGAACGACTGGGACTAGGTGAGGCGGCCTTAGATCAGCCTACTAATTAGTTGTGTATTGTAGCTTGTCTAGGAGATACTCGGGCTGATAGTCTACAGTTGTGTGGGTCAAATCCACGACAATTTTAGGCAAACAATTTTGCCAACGGTTCATTAGACATGATTATAACTTAAAGGAAGGATACAGTTGTTTTAAAAACACTATACCGATAAAACATCAGTTCTACAAAGAATTTTCTCTCTAAATAATGAAGTAACTGCACAAACTAACCTTCAATATATGCTGGTAATTCAAACAAGTTTAAAGGACCTGACCTTCCAAGTTGTTGACTTGTTGCTTCACATAAAAACTTTAAAATTGATTCGTCCAACAGGTGGGCAAAAGCATTTGCAACTAAGTTCATATCAGCTCCAGTCTGATCGGTAACTTGTTGTTTTATATCCACTGCATCACTGATGACATCTACAGATTTCTTTTTATCTTCTTCATCGTCTTGATGTTGTACGCCACTGTCCGCATCACTTGTTTTAGTTGTTTTCACCTTATTTGAAAGAGCCATCTACACAAAAAAAGGTAAATTGTGTAGTAAAAATAAAGTGTCGGTCAACAACAAAGAATGTCTTGTAGTTCAGGATGAAGAAGATAACTGTTTGGTTTCCTTTAAACTACTCTATGTGACAGTGGATGTTTCATTAGGCTGGATGAATTTATGAGTAGTAAATTGGTGGCAAACTTTCCTAACTTGGTAACTAAATGTTGGCCATTAGATACCAGTGTCGTGGTAAAAACTTATAAATCATCCGCTACACATTAATACCTTTACAGTAGAAGAACATAATGCTTTTGGTGAAGGAAGTTATCACAGAAGAAAATTTTTTGGATAACGTTAAGTGTTCACAGAAGATTCTGTCACTCAGCATAAAGAATTTAAAGAACATGAATTGTTCAGCAGATTAGGGATTAAAGCTAAATCAATCTTCAATAGTTTTTGCTCAGTACTCTTAATGAATGGTTTCACATACAGATGCAGTGTACACAAATAATCACAAGATACTCAAAGTTATTGATATTAAGTATTTGGGCTCCGAAAGAAACACAAGGATCCAATAACATATAGCAGTTTTACTCCTTTCTCTTGCCATCAATTCCAGTTCCATGACTGCTCATAAGCTTTCGCCTCCATCCTACACAATCTCCACCACCCTTGGAAGCTTAATTTGCCATTTTTCATTCAGGTCCCACTTCAAGGCATGGTGTGTGATGTCACTCAAAGGTCTTCTTAGAGCGTGTCAAATTTACATGCATTTCCTTATGCAAATTTGTTGGTTGATAGGTACTTGTTTGGCCGACTCTTGTTAACTATCTTTACTGGCCATCTGGTCTTCCCCGCTGAGCGAAGGAGTTTCAGAGATGAATTCAGTTATCCTCCTCCGGTAACTTGATGAAACCTTCTCCCTGAAGTGATGCTGCTCAACAATGTTTCCGCCATCGATGTATGCGCTGAAGATGTTGCTCAGTAAAGCAATGAAAGCTTCGCAACCAAACCATCCAGCTCAGAGAACACAACCACACCAAAAAAGGTTTAAATGCTTTTTCTTGTTTTGGAGGACACAACATGGAATAAGTCTGTATGCTTGCATATTCTACAAACATTTCTTAGCGACAGTACTACTTTCCTTGTGTTACTTTATATTGCTTTAAAGTGATCTAGCAATTTATCTATGTGTCCAACCACGTCTATTCTATTGGCTCGTTAGTTTTCTGGGTGGCTCAAGGTTTGAGAAAAAGGTATAGTTGGTAGCGAGGTTAGCAACGCTATCATGGGAAATCAGTTTAATTGCCAGAAAAACTTCAAAGCACAGAAAAAATATTAAGACTGAAAATCCTCTTCTCTGTGATCAGACGGATGAAATGAAGCAGGCGGGTGATATGTCTTCGTTCGATCAAAGCAAGAATAAGCACAGGAAGATGGAATGTATGTACGATGTTCGAAGCATAGAAGGTTGCTCATATTACGAAAGAAATGAGAAGATATGGCATAGAAGTGTTAGAAATCTGTTAGAGAAGGTGGAGTGGATGTGGACTATCCGCGTTGTTAACTGAAGAGTCAATAATCTACTCCAGTCACCCAGATGGCAAATAACTCAGAACAAGAGAAGAAGAGGCAGAATGTACAAGCGCATAGATACACATAAACACAAGGTGACACCTGACAGACCAACCAAAAATCAGATGAATTTCATCTCAGTATCAAGAAATTGGGACCGAAAGTCTAGAAGGAGAGCAGATGTTACCTCGGGCGGTCGTCTAGTTCAAGGAACCATCTGAATCAATTTAAAAGCCTTCAAAACAGCTGGAGACAGACTACTGTTAAAATTCAGTAACCGAAAGACTAACCTACAAATGACACATTCATTGCAGTTATCACAGTCAGGTCAGGGATAATACGTGCCATCACTGGGGAAACCTGTGTGGAAGAAAATTGAAACTCTCTAAAGATAAAGTTAAAGGAAAAGTGTACAGTCGTTTGATGAAGAACGAAGAGGCAAGATTACGAATAGCTCTCTACGGACACCGTGAAGCTATTGGAGGAGAGGGGGATTGTGGACCAGAAGAAGACAAACCACAGCAAAGACGGACGATAATAGAGAAGCTGGGTTCAGTCTACAACGCACTAAATGAAGAAAAGAAGAAGAGTGCTACAAACTGGAAACTGAAGCAGAACAATGTGGAGGTTAGAGAAACCTGACAACATTATTTCAGACAACCCGGTCGCTATGAAGAAAGAGATCAAACAAGTGAAAGCATTGAGAGGGAGCGAAGGGAACGTAATTACCAAAGAAGAGAAGCAAAAGAAATGAAGGGCTGATCACTTCAGTCGAACACTGCACCAACCACCACCTGCAACTCAGCACGCACACAACTGCTAGTCGACGCCAATCCTCCAACAAAAGCAGCTGTCTTGAACGAAACGAGACTATTGGAAGGCAGTTGAGAAGACAGCACAATCACATTGAATTCTTCGTCAAGTACTGGAAACAGATACGAAGACATCATGAGATATCCTGACGCCATAATTGCAGTAGGTTTGGAAGAAAGGACGAGTGGCTGTATATTGAAAGAAAGGCGACTTTGTCAATCTGCCAAAGAAGGGCAGCTTAGGCCCAAGAAAAGGAGCGAAATCACACCCTTGTCCACACCAAGTAAATTACTAAGGTACGTCATCCAGGAGAGAACAACGGATGAACTGGATGCAAAACTCTGAACAGAACAAGCTGGATTGAGAAAAAGAAAATCATGTTCTAACCAGATAGCAACTCCACGCATCATCATTGACTTTGCAAACGCCTTCGATCGTGAAGCAATTTGGAAGCCACACCAAGTTTATGTGTGGCCTAAACCTTTATCAACCTGACTGAACAGCTATGTGACAATGACAGGTGTCAGGTAATCCGCAGAGAAAAGATCATTGAATCATTTGAAGTGACAGTGAAGACGGGAGTAAGACAAGGCTGCCTAATATCAACCTTGATCCCCCTAGTTGTGGTGGAATGGACTACGCGCCAAACTATTGGGGTTGAGAGGACAGGAATACGTTGAACCGACAGGAAGACTATATAAGATATTAACTTTGTCGACGATTTATGTTTAATCTCACACAAATACGAAAACGTACAGGGGAAAACCAACAAACTCGCTGAATAGGCTGGCAGAGAAGACAGGATTCCAGATGAACATAGAGAAGTTCGAGATGATGAAAACAGCCAACTAACAACAGCAAGTTCCCGTCTCCAAGTTTACTTCTTCTACCTATCTAGGAAGCATTGTTTTAATTACAAGCGATCTCACATATTAGGATATCAAAACGATAATGGGAAAGGCAAGAAGGACTTTCACCACTCTGAAATCAGTTTGGGAATCCTCTGAACTCAGCATAAAGAACAACATTTGGTGTTTTAACACCAACACTAAGTCAGTCAATTCTTCCATATGGACCAGAAACTTGACCATGGTGTCATGGAAAGCATTTCCAACGGGCTACTGAAGACTTTTATCAACAGCTGACTTCTATGGCTGCATACTGGAGATCAAATGGCCAGAAGTAGTTGAAAAGAAGAAACTCTGTAAAAAGCCAACCAAGAACATGTTGTTCAACAGAAGAAGATGAAGTTGGATCAAACACACACTGAGGAGACCGCTGAATGACATCACGCATCAGACCGAAGCTCGAGTGGAACCCGAATGGGAAACGACGAGTTGGGCGTCGACGCGAGGGTGAACTGAAGGAGATGGTGTGAGGAGGAGACGAGAGACTAGGCGAAACCGTGGAACATCTAAAGAGGACCATAGAGAACAGGATGAATTAGGGATGTGCTGTTGTGTTCCTATGTTCTACTCGGAACCCAAGGAGACAATAATAATATAAACTACCTGTTCATCCATGTCAATTTCATTGTTTATATAAAAAACTTCTCAGTTAGGACTGTTATGTTTAAACAGTTCAAATAAGACTTTAAAACTACTTCGTATGACTTCATTTCATCATTGAATAATGTAGTCTAACATCAGCAAACTACTACTAAGGCCACTATTGACACTAATGACCAACCAACAACAACAACAGCAGCAGCAGCAGCAACATCCAGCACCAATCACCATCAACGCGAGGGATCTGAAAGAGGTTACTTCTTTCACTTATCTATGGAGCATTGTCTCAACTACAGGATGTCAAATCGAGAATCGGGAAGGCGAGAAACACATTCATCAACCTGAAACCAATCTGGAAATCTTCGTCACTCAGCATCAACAACAAAATTCGGATTGTCAATACAAACGTCTAGTCAGTTCTTCTATACGGATCAGAAACTTGGCGGGTCACAAAGAATATTTCCAACATCCTGTTGCAGACCTTTATCAACAGCTGTCTTCGTTCTACACTCAAGATCAGGTGGCCGGAAAGAATCACTAACAAGAAACTATGGGAACAAACAAAACAAGAACCAATCGCTCAACAAATATGCAGAAGAAAGTGGAGATGGACTGAACACTCGCTAAGGTGGCCGCTGGGTGATATCGCGCGTCAGGCCATCGCTCGAGTGGAACCCGAAAGGGAATTGGCGAGTGGGACATCCAAGGGTGACATGGTGGAGATCGTGTGAAGAGGAGCTGAAACAGTATGGACTAACATGGATGCAGGTGAAAAGTACAGCAGAAGACAGAAACAAGTGGAGACGTGCAGTTGAAGCCCTATGTTCCACTAGGAACCCAAGGGAACAATAATAAATAATACATTCTCACTGGTGATTGAGAATGAAGTACAAATCTGGATCGAGAAAGAATTCGAACTAACAGCCTACAGATTATCAGCCTGGACATATTGAAATGAGTAGGATAATTAACTTAACTCATAGGCAAAATATAATTTCTGTTGCTCATATCTATGCGCTGACAAGCCTTAATCACAATAAGTCTTAATACACATAAAGCATACATCAAACTTTATATTATACACTCACGAAAGATTTGACACCAGTGCGAACTTTTAAACCGTTTATTAATTCAGTCAGTGTATTCATTATTCTTCTTTACTTATTATTAGTTAATTATAAATTAATCCAAGACTGTATTCCTTAATAGTTCAAATATTTAACAGTGGATTCCTTCTTATATTGGCCAGCATCTGTATGTGTGCGTACAGTACCAGTAGTAGGTCATCATGGAAACACTGGAGAAGTGTTTTCAATTGCATAACATATCGAAATAATCAAGAATATCCTTATTCATGTAAAAATCATTAATCCTTTCCTTTATCATATACCCACACAGAAAAAGACATTTAATACGCTCTTCTGTTAACTCCTCCATTTTATAAATAATGAGAAAGTGCTTCTTACACACACACACACACACATGCACACATGCACACATGCATACACACATAGACACACAAACACAGATGACTCGTAATAATCAATCTAAAATATTGAATTGATTACCAAATTATTAATTAATTTATAAACGCTAGTGGTTCATTTACACACAATACAGGCAATAATGTTTTTCTTTACTGCTGATGTTTGTTGTTTTGTTTGTTTGTTTTTTCAAACTAGTAAAACCGCAACAATACTAATCAATCCTAGAGAATTACACACTTGGGTGTAATCATCAATATATATACACAGTAATAAAACTAATAATTGGTGAAATTTAAAAATTGTATTAGAACTGTTTACTCCACATGCTAGTACTGCTATCACTGATCGATAAGAAAGGTGTGCTTCACTATGACGTATGATGCATCAAAAAAAAAACACACTTGATATTGAGATAAGTGTGAATGTAATAAATAATCTTGGCGACAGTAATCTTTAATTATGCTACTAATAAATTTTTCTTTGTTATTAATCTGACATGCTGTCTTCTCAGACTGTGTGGTTTTCTGAATTTCGAAGTGTTCTTCCATGTGGTACTGACTGGCAGGTGAATACGAATTCAACGAATATGAGGCAATAGATTTCAGCCTGTCAAGTAACCATCAACATTCTGAGTAATCGTGGTTCTCTGATAGTCCTCAACTCAACTGCTGTGATAAAAAAGTGTGCATACCAGTGTTGGAGATTTTTAGAAGTTTTCTTTTTTGATTCGTAAAACAAATTATGTCGATGGCACAGTGGTAGAATGCTCGCCAACCATGCTTGTGGTCCGGGGCTCGATCTCTGGCCGACGCATTCCTTTACCTCGCCAAAACCAGTAATGAAACCGGTAAGGAGAGAAGGTTGGACATGAGGCTAGCTACGCCATCCCGTAAAAATAAACAACACTGTTACCGAAACTTCAGGTCTCTAGCTAGAAGCCCTATGTTCCACTGGGAACGTAAAGGAATAAAAAAAACAAATCTAGTATGTGTCAGGAGAGAACCATTTATTAGTAGGCACAATTAACAGGAAGCTGGATAATTCTACTGCCTAAAATGTAATTTTAAAATAATGCATCCTTGATGCTACTTAGCATCTTTTCCACAGAGACTACAAAACATGACTGAAATCAAGCGTAATGAAAAACCAGCTAACAATTCAAATTCTAGTACCAGGTTTTGCAGTGGGACAATTGACAGACAATTACTTCTGCAGAATTATCCTTTAGACGTATTCTACAGTGACAATATTTTGTCAGTGTATTCATCTGTTGCTTTCGATTTCATCCATAAAATAGTGTCAATTTGTCCTTGACTATAGGACCTCAAGTAGTAGTTACTTCATATATTGCCTATTTGGTCTGTTGAACACTGGCAAGTAGAAATGAATTGTTCACTAATTTATTTTTTAAAAGGTGAACTGGCCAAAAATATACTTTTATGTTTGAAAAGTCAAGTCGACCAGAGGATCTGCGGTTTGGTTTCACTAAAAAGACTTCTCAGAGTTCAGTGTTGCTTTTCCTTTCCGCGTGATTACCTAATCCTGAGTATCAACCGGAGGCAGTTGCTGGTGAAAGTTCACAGTAGACTGTCAGAAATGCTGTTGGTGATGCACTCGTCCAGACACGGAAACACTAACTTAACTTATGGTTATTTAAGCTAAGCGCTGAAGGTCTCCACATTGATTTCAGGTGAATGAATGTCTATCTGGCTTTATTGATCCAGTCCTGGATGGCCTTGACATCCTAATCTAGGCCGACTGTACTTGAAACAAAGCCGGCAAGATGAGTGAAGGAGATGGCTTGCTCTAGACTTCTGCTGGTGTTGAATGACGCCTCTTTTTGTTGCTTAAATATATCTATTTTCACCTGAAATTGTTTTCTTGACTAGTTCTTCTGCTAACTTGTTGGTTTTTACATTTGTTAATCGTTAGTGAAATCTTGATCTTCTGGGATATTTTTATTACTATTATTCTTCATTCAAGCTAGAGCTTTGAAGCTTCCGTAGCAGTGGTGTTTACTTTTAAAGGTTGGGGTTGCAAGCCTCATGACCAACCTTTACTCTTTACAGATCTTATTGCTGGCTAAGGGAGGTGTAGAAATGCGTCGGCCGGAGATCGAACCCGGGACCATGTGATGTGTGGTTTCCTTTACTAGCATTTTTACCAGTATGAAACTGTCTTCACTGTATGCCAAGAAAGATGGCCGGTAGTGAATGTCTGTATTATTTCCTGCAGCAGAAACCTGATACTTCAGAAACCCAGCCAAATGTCTGAAGCTTGCTCAGTAACCATGATATAAATAAAAAATAGTAATAGTAATAATAAAAAGTAATTATTAATAGACTTTAAATTGAAAACCTACTTGATGCGCAATTATTCCATAGCCTTGATAAAGTGGCAGATTTGCAAATCGTGATTGATAGCCTTGTACAACGCCATCTTCATTCTTCCCACTTGAACTACTTTGTATAGTTACATCTGATGATAAATTTTGATTTGATGGAAACATTAGTTTCGCCTGAGAGAATAAACGTTCTGATTCCTATGATTGAAGAAAAATGAGATTAAGAGTTATTTTTGTAATTATAATTTTCTTATGTAATGAGATGAATTTACAAGGTAAGGTCTGATCGATGCAAATTTGTCAAGGTGCGAGGCGACATGAAACAATTAAAGACTGACGTAACACTGTGAATCAGTCTTTTTCTCTACCTTAATCAATATTACTGTAGGTAGACCAAAATTATGAAATAATGGAGGAGATGTGTAGCTCACTTCACTTTGAAGTAAGCGCTATATAATATGTTGCCTAGATTGAGAGTGAAAGCCTTGCAATCAAACCAGCAGGCTTAGTGAACACAACCGCATCAGATACAACGACGTTGTTTTTGCCCTGGAATCGAACTGTCAGTTGGGTCTTATAATATTGGATATAACACAAAGCTAAATGAATACATCTGCTTGTTTATATTGGAAGTTGATTTCAAGCATGATTTTGTGTAATGGAGACTTAGAAATACAAAAAAGCCGAATGATTTGGGCATTGTTGTAGAATACAAATATGTTTGTTAAGATATAAAATGATAAAGTATTGGTAAACGGATGATGTTTCGGGCACAATATATTGCTTGTAATCACATAGCTGCATTTACGCGACTTTCTATCTTGTTTTATATGGCTTTACTTCCCATCCTGTCTTCAATACAATGTTTAATATATCCGGTATTGATGTTGCATCATTTCTATTTTGTGTTCAATATTAATTCAGTGAATAAATATTCTGTGGCTGACCTCTCTCTCTCTCCACCTTATTACATACCGACTTAATGATGTTTCCTGTCCTGCTCTACTGTGTGAATACATTCACATGCGTGCAAAGCAGCGGCCTTAATTATTACTGAACCTAGTAGGGTCTAACATCATAGATCTAGCCAAGCTCCTGTATTCTGATAACCTAACTGAACTAAATATAGATTTGACCACACAACTACTTCGTAGAAAGCAATAAGTCATATGAATGCATTGGTATGACTGTAAGTAATAAATTGTGTCTTCGAAACATTATTCAATTATCAATGCTTTATCTCCATATGCTTTACCAGATAGACTTAGCTAATATGAAACTAAATAAACGTATTCGAGCAACCAACCAATCATTATGTATTTTTGAATCAATGCCATTGATAGATCTAGTGGAAATCATAAGGCACTGTATGTACAATTGTTCTGTCGTAGTGTCTTCAGTAGTGTTTATGCCAGTGATATCGGAAAATGACATCTAAAACCCAACACTAGAGTAAAGTCTTTGATGACAGATATAAGTATTTTCGCGTATCATTAGAGTTTTTAAAACTCTCGTTGATTCACATTATTTTAGCCTGTCTCTATAGATATATAAGCTAACGTGTACGACTAGGCGATACCACAGGGTTTTGTTTTGTTATCCCACTTATTCAGTCATGTCTAGCTGTGCGTCGGTGGCACAGTGGTTAGGACTCTCGCCGACCATGGAAATAGTCCGGCGTTCGACCCCCTGCCGGCGCACACCCGATATCTATGGTTGGCCTGTAAATTTGGGCTACCGATATCCATGCTGAAAATTCCATACTTGTACTGAAAATACGGTGTGGAATCAAGCTGTAATCAAAATAAAATTAAAATAAAAAATCAGAACACGCCTTTCACTCAAAGGAGATATAGTTTATCCAAATGAATAGGAATTCTCAGGCAGATGTTTATGGTGTTGTTGTGTTCTCTGAGCTTGAAGATTTAATTGCAAAGCTTTCATTGACCCTCTTCAGTATTAACTTAAAGATGAAAGACAACGCCTACAAAATAACATTTGAAATATTCAAGGCAGCAGATAATAAACTTGGACATTACCACTGCACACTTTCATTTAATTCAAAGATTAAAGTCGATTTCAGATTAGATCATGAACTAGCTTCAATTAGAGAATCACTGAAAAGAAGGGAGTACTGGTCAGCTAGCTGCCTCTTCCTAGTTTGGAGCTATTCGGCAGTACACACTCATCACCCCACCAAGAATTGAATCTACAATCTTTAGTTTACAGGGCGAGCTGGCTGATCATTCAGTCACTGTGATGGAATCCAGTTACAAGTCAATTTTAACTCCTACCATTTCGCAATATGTATAGCTCGACTGGTAGTTAATAATAATCTGTGAGTACCTGTTCTTACACCAAAAACTAGGATAAAACAACTTTCGAGTACTTTCGTGATTTTTAAACGGTTCTCTAAGTGAAGTAAGTTAGTGGCAAAACTTGTGATCAGTCAAATCCCTGCAAAGCATCACTTCAAAAATTAAACTTAATTTAGCTGACTACAAAGAATGAATTCTTGTGCTCTATATATACTACCAAACAAACAGCAAGTTTATTACGGATTTGTTGGCTACAAATGTAAGTTATGCACATTTTTAATTCTTTGAGTATTTTACTGTGTTATTATAAAGTGAAGTGCAAATATACTTAACTGTGAAAGAATATCACAGAAAAGTTTCACCTTCATTCTTTTGTAATAATTAAAAGCAATAAATTTTTTTAAATTATAATATTTATATATATATATACATCTACATTAATAAGCTTAAAGCTATACCTACAAGATGAATTTACAAGATAAGGTTTGATAATAGCATAATTATCAGGGTGGAATACGAAATGACACAAATAAAGAGTGATGTGGTAAGGCAGCTTGCCTTGTAACTGGAAGGTCCTGGGTTCGAAATCCAGTGGGTACATACTGCCGATGAGTCCAAAACTAGGACGAAACACCTGTCCAGTACTCCCTGGTTTTCAATGATTCTCTCACTAATATCAATCCGTAAGTAAACTCGATATATATGTATATGTATATATATATATATGTGTACATGTCAAATATGACACAAAATACAAACCTCGGTAAATAAATAAGCCTCTTCAGAGCTGAATTAGGTATTATTTTTCCTTATCGTGAAGCTGAATAAATAAATATGATGCAACGAATAAGCCTACTTACCTTATCATTATTGTACATCCAATGAAAAAAACGGTGATGAATACTACATTGTTTCTACCAAACCTTATCATTCAATGATTTAATTATCAAAGACACAACCGACGATATGCACTAAATCAATAGTACTACTAATGTCAGTGTACTCATGCATATTCCTTTTTTTATTTAGTTATATGACATAAAGTCCCTTATTAGATGGTTGGAAGCAATCGGCAGGAAGCCTTGGACTTAGGTTTCGTGCTAGTTGGCACTCATCAGCAAGGCGTATCTGCAACCTTGAAGGAACTCATGTCCCTTCTGAGATTCGAACCCGCGTCACCCAGTGCCACAGTCAGAGACGTTCTCACTGAGCTATTCGGGCTCACGATAGAATTCAGTCTGCACCAAATAGAGGACTAGACACATCACACTAGTTACTAGTGTCAAATCAAAATAAAGTCCCTTAATATAAATACACTGTTAAAACAGTAACTTCAGGTTTGAAACAAGGCTGCTATACTTGTCTTATCACAAACTAAGTTATATTTATTTCTAAACCGAAAAGTTATAGCATGCTGGAAATATGATTAGGAATGGCTTACGATGGCTTTGATTCACCTAGGGAATTTAATGGTCACTACCTATGCACTATTCATACTTTTCAGCTCATTTTTCCACTGTTGTCGTATAATGCAGATTGTGTACGCTGAAACAAACTTGTTTTGGTGCACATGCTTGTTTACAATGGTCACCAATCACAGTGACAGTGCTAGTGACATCTACAGTCATGATCTAATTACTCACTTGAGGATTGGCGGCGTCGGTTTGAATGCACCGCATAAGCAGACATTTTTCAGTATTCCAGTTTCATTTATATCCTGTGTACTTGGTTCTGCTGAAAACCACTTTTCAGTTATCAAATTGATAAGTGTAGCAATGTATAAAATAAATTACATGATTCTGCTATCTTGAAGTATTTAGATGTCTGCTGCGATGCATACATCGTGTCTGCATTGTGATCACTAAACTTAGCTGTATAGAACCTTTGTACACTGTGATATTATTTAGCTTAATGCTATAAAATTCAATGAAGCTTTATTTAATGCCACCAGCGCACATTTACAATCATCGCGATTGTAGGGAGGACTCAGTCTCCCACTCTAAGTGGTTGTTAGTCAGTCAAACAAGAATGTTCATCCTGGAAGTCAAAGAAAAATAACCCAGGCAAAACGGTTTTTGTCCATTCATTCAGAAACATCACACCATAAAGCATATTCCTTGCATTCTGTCGCTTCTTGAGAGTCACCCGAGTGGGGCGCTAGCATGGGAACTCCTAGTTTAGGCCGAAATTCGCATAAAATAACAATAAGATCACCGTATCCCTGTTTATTAGCCAGTAGAAAATTCTATCGACTGTGTGTTAATAAATAAGCGTCATATATCAAATAGTTATCTTACTTTCATTGTCAACAATGCAAGTTGTTCAGTATCCACAATGTCACTGAAATGAAACAAAAAAACACAGATTGATTTTAAATAATTACCGAATACAATAAAGTATGAGATAAAATTTATTGTAAGAAGCATTGTAAGGCAGCTACCTACTCAAAGTTTGAGCGAGACCTTCAGTGCCTGGAATCATTCAACACTTTTAAGCTACCAGTAGAATTAAACACCTTAGATAACGTGCTTCATTACTTCCTGCGAAATCAAGCAATCATTGCTAATTGAGTCGGAAAATTACTGACCAAATATTCATTTATATGTATTATTATGGTGAGAGCTGTCTGCTAGCCAAAGTTGGTAGACAGCAATTTACGTCAGTTTAATTGGTGGATGATAACTGTCAGTGGAATGCAGGATGCGCATTTCGTCCTGTTTGGGACTCGTCATTTGTATGTACCTGCACTCCCCAGTGAGTGATGATGTTCTCATTGGAGCTTGAACCCAATGCCCATAGTTTCAAACGCCAAAGCGTTATCCACTAGACCACTTGGGTCACGACAGCCACCTCTTGTGCACTTCGGTTCAATCAATCGACGGGAAAATCTAAAATTCAATTAAATAAATTTACGTCAGTGTTTACTTCCCAAATCTCGGTGATGAGAAAAAGAAGAACAAAGACTTTGTGTGGGCGGATACGATTTGAAGATATATGGTCTGATCTTCGAAGAAATGGCCACAAAGAGATGACAGATTAACTTTCAGCGAGAAAACAACTTATCAGAAGATGCTGTTTCTCTGCTAGTAATAACGAATAATAATATACATAAAAATCTATAAATATCTGTTGATTTTCTCAATAAACGATCTGTTGCCTGGCCTTTGTCTTCTGTCGTTACATTATTACTACCGTTTCACTGTAATCACCGGCCAACATGCTCATTTATCATGCAAAAAACGAAACCTTAGTGTCCATTTATCATCATATTGTATGACCATCTGCCGAGACTAATTATACTGAAATATAAGGAATGGAATTAAGTTTTAGTCAGTGATGAGGTTATCTGAACAGCTAAGGTTGGACTGCGCCAGGCCGGTGGTTTGACTTCTAATGCGATCCAAGTTTTAGTTTTATCTGCAATTACCACGCATGAAACCAACATCAAACTGCCAGTTAAGACTATCTAAAGTGGTCACACCATCACTATCTTCCATAATATTGCACAAGAAGTCACGATTTTGCCCAACTGAGAAAGTCGCTTTATTTAGAAAATACGATAAATTTGTAGTGTAACATGAAACAAGTTCATCACTATTTCAATATCAATACAGAATTTAAAAAATCCTCAGCCGACTAATATAATGTCTCTTAAGCGTTTTCAGAACAAACGATGATGTGATATCTATCATTTTCTCAGCTGATAATTGAACTGAACATTTTGCATACCACAGTGATTATTGATAGATTACCATTGTTAAGTTTTTAGAAACTTCGATTGATTGCAATGAATTATGTGCTCTACGACATTAGTTACACACACAAAAGACTGGTTGGCTCAATGTTAATGCTTTTGTCACTAAACATTCTTGAGATTTTCTATTCCTATAATTTAAAGTATTTACTGTTAAGGCATTCTAACATAATGTATATGCATCAACTGTATACTCCGCCATTTATTTTCAATGTTTCTTACGATAAAGTCACTTCTAAAAATAAACTTATGAATTTTTGTATCTTTAATAATCGTTAGGCGATTATTATGTATGTCAGGCGCTTAATGAAAACTTGCTTCAGGTGACTTCATTCCTTTTAATCGAAAAAGGAGTTTTATTTGATGACGACTAAGTTTTAGCCTTACAAGTTGACTGAAAGCTATTTTATAATCATTTTTGTATTGAAGACGATCGTAATGGAGACACAGACGAATATAAAGGAGCTGAAAGCACTTAGATGAAAGATTAATTAAAGATTTCATACAAATTGATGATTTTTAATCAAAGACGTGAATTATGCAGGTAACCATTTCAAAGTGTACACACTATACTGTAGATGTTAATACTACCACGTGGATAGGAAAAAAAACTTTTCATATATGATAGACAAATGAATACTTATACATATATAAAGTGTGAAATAATGAGAATATCACGTGATTTAGTGCTTTTCTGCGTTTTACTTTAAAGTAAGTAAGATTTACAGCATGAGAAGATGAAGGCAAGAATTTATCGTCTATACACACTAATCTGAGAATAGAAATTGTTACTCGCTTTGATACAAAGATGCTTGCCGAGCTGTGTTGACAGTAAGTAATAAGTCTGTAGGTATTACAAACCCATGAAGTGTGAATACAGAATTGCTGAATAATTCCAATTGGAACATACTGAAAATCAAAACAAGTAATCTAGAGTAGAGTATCTTTTTCGAAGAATTTATTATCAAGCTTAACATTCGTATATATGTATATATACAACTGTACAGGTTGAATATAAATTTGCAACAAAGAAGCCTTCGGCTGAGTGCAGAATTCATGGGTCGAAAACGAAACTTGACTCGAGCACTTGTCACTCGCGCTCGGCTCATATGCAGTCCTGATGTTATGGAGGAAGAGTTGAATCCTATAACTGAAAATGCCAATTGAAAATGGATTTCCACCATGTTTAATAGACAAGAACATACAGTGTAACTACCGAAGACAAGGGCTAGGCAACAGATCGTTTATTAAGGAAAATCAACACGTATTTATAGATTTTAATGTACATTATTGTAGATTACTGTTAGTAGAAAATAGTCTTTTGATTGGTTGTTTCTCACAGAAAGTTAACCTTGCATCTCTTTGTGGCTGTGTCAGATCATCCATATGCTAACTGTATCCGCCTACGCAAAGCCTTTGTTCTCATTTTCTCACCACCAATATTGGGAACATAAACATTGACGTCAATTACTGTCTACCAACTTCGGCTAGCAGCCAGCTCTCACTACAACAGTTAAGACCTATGAAAGGTGATTTAACGTCTGTAACCAAGAAAATGCTGTACATAAACCTTGACTTTACAGGTGACTTAGCTGCCGATATCCAGAAAACAAAGATCACACAGTGTCTGAAAATGACATTCCCTGCAGCATCCTTGTGAGCAGCCTTTTTTAGGTGACCATCACTGTTCAATAACCTGAAGGACAAGATCCCGCCAAAGACCAACTCTATATGCGTTTGATAATTGTGTTCATCTGCCCTTGTGGAGCGATGTATGTCGGTCACTCGACACAGTTTTTTTTCTAAAAGGCCACAAGAACACTATCCTGCGTGGTTACCAAGAAGTGGAACTGGGGCTATGAAGAGCAAAATAATTGAAGAACTGGTAAGTAATGACCATCTAATTTTTCACCCTCTTCCTATAAAGTTGTCTACAAGGGGAAAAATCATTTTCCCAAATCACCACATATCTTACCCATCTGTATTGCTGAAACTTTGTCTATAGAAATAGAAAAGCCATTTCTTTGTATACAGAAAACTACATTTTTCATGTTCTCAATCCACTTATGCTAAAGTATGGTATTTCCCACTCATAATTTAGCCCTATTCTTCTTTTTGTATATGTTCAGTTGGTGTATCCTTCCCTTATTATGTCGACCGTTATGATCAACTTCACTCTGAACAACTTCTGACATGATCTCAATTGTTGCTTTTATTTATTTAATTCAATTTAATTTTTGCAATGTTGCCTTGTCACAATTATAACCTTCTTTTCTAGCGTTGTAACTGCTTACCAATCTTATTTCACGAACTATTTTATAAAGTAAACACATAATATGTTAGTAGTTACAGTTATTTGGTGTCAAGGGGAGAGATAACTAATTTATGTTGGTGGCGAAGGCCACAGTAGGGAGAAAGGTTGAACAAACTTTTTCTGAATACATAGATGCGGTTGAAAAATCTTTACGACAACTGCCTCAACGATGCTTAGCAACCGAAGAGGTACCAGCCTAGGGAGTTGAGGTGACACACTGTAAAGAAGCGTAAAGGCTGAATTTTTGTCAATCTTGTACTCCATATCTATTAGGTGTGCCAGTGTGGAATTTCTGATTGACTTTACGACTTCTCTACCTAACTATGTTCGACAATGCTCTTGAAGGCGACGATGGGTTTGCCGAGTCGTGTTACCTATGTAACTGTCTCTGCATGAACAGTTAATCTTATGAATGCACACTGAAGTGGCCAGACTTGGTAGCTTATCCATTCTAATAAAGGTTTTTATATTTCCCAATGAATGAAACACAAAACGATATAGTTTTTACTGACGTTTCGGTATTTAATGCTAATAGCTTTATCAAAGTATTATTAAACCGGAATTTACAAAATCTCAGCATATGAATATTAAAGAGTTAAGAGGTGAGAAAATAGACTTGGGTTGTTTCAGTTGTTTCAAGTCTTCTTAGACGAGCACACTCTCTGATTTCGAATGAGAAAGAAAAAGAAGAAGAAATATCAAACATTACTGAAACTTTCAAGCAAAACAACTACCCAAGGAACTTCATCAACAAAATCAACACAGACATTAAGTATGGCCGAAAGAAGAGTACTCAATCAGCTCGAGATTAGAGTTTTCTTCAAAACATCAGACACACTACGAAATAACCTTGTCCATCTAAAAGACCAAATCGCTAAATATTCTCTATCTAATTGTGTCTATAAAATAAAATGCTTAGAATGTGATGCGATATCCATCGGACGAACATCTCAAGAAATCAAAATCAGAAGAAATGAACACTGTAGAGCATCTCTTCGACCACCAAGAAATCAGGTTGAACTAGAAAAACTTGAAAAATCATCAGCCATAGGTTTACACGCTATAGAATCAGGCCACAAAATTGATTTTGACAGTATTGAAATAATCCAGAAAAACTTCAGGAATCACAAAGAACGTCTAATATCAGAAGCACCTCATATCAAGTGGAATCCAAATTGTCTGAACAGGAATGATGGACTAAAACAGAATCTGACCTGGTTACAACACCTCCCTCCTCCATGAAGTGACAAAATCAACACGAATGTGATAAGC